ATACAAAAGAAAACTGCACATTATATACAAAAGAAAACTGCACATTAGATACAAAAGAAAACTGCACATTAGATACAAAAGAAGAAGTCACCGACCCAACAAAGTCACAAAATTGTGATTTAAAAAATGATAAAAATCTTCAACTTACTTTCCCGTTTGTTCGTCCTCTTGGACCGAAGCTGCAAGAGGCAGACCATCATACACCCTGGCAATCATCGTCATTAAAACCATTCTGAATCTGAAACGTCTCAGATTTATAAAAACTCACCAAAAATGTAGAAATATAAAAGTACTATTTCCATTATACATCAGAGGTACAATAAATATTGAAATTGCAACAGATAAATTAAATACTTCAATATAATTTGATAAAGTAAGACCCATAAGGTTAGAAAATATATTTACAGTGCTTAAAAACCGGGTCTAATTGTTTACACTTAAACGTAATAAAACAGTGTTTGTTCATACAGTGGAATAAATATCTAAATACGAAATGCAATAAAGCAAGGTTTGAAATAAAATCCAAATTAAGATTAGACAATTTCATATTTCTCAGCAATAAAAGAAATTTCTGATGAATATTTGACGGGAGCGTCTGAATCAGTGTCAAGACATTCAAGTATCTTGATCCCGGAGAAGGGTTTGCTGCTCGTGAAACTCATCGTTACAGGGAAGAAATCGTCAGGGTTTCCAGGAACGGAGAACTCCATGCTGCCACTCTTGTTCTGGGCGTCTATAACAGGGTGCTGCCAGAGCAAAGCACCTCTGCGGGTATCATGGGTGTAATCACCCTCGCACTCAGATACATTAGGAGCTCCAACTCCGTGGGGGATCGGAATACTGATCACAACATCCTGAAGCTCGAGATCCGTGTTCTCCAACTCAAACTCGATGTTTACATCGCAACCCCCGGAACCATTTTCACTAGGCCAGCAATTAATGGAGAGCGGGATTTCCGAATCATCTTGAGTTTGAAACCGCCACTTAAGAACTCCTACTCCGGAGTTCAGGGGGAAAGGTTTGGCTGGATTTTTAAGTCCGATAACGGATCTACTACGGAACAACTCTTTGTCAATGTTAGGATGGGTTTGAAGCTGGATACTTTTGTTGGTCGTGTTCTCCAAGTTCAGTTTTATCTTGGCAAAGTTCTCGTCCGAGACTCTAAGTGTCATGAGACCTTGGACCTCCATGTTCTGGAGTCCTCCATCTCTTCCAGCACTCAAAATTATCTTCTCCTCCACCGTGACATGAACAGGTTCCGTGCTTATCTGAGGAGCTCGGGGTTTAGAAACCCCGCCACCATTAACCGATGTCGGAGCAGTTACAACCCTCTCTCCTTCACTCACCAACTGATCAACAAAACTATCCACGTCACGGGATTTTCCACCAAGCTTCATTGCTTTGTTCTCTTTCCTAACTGGAGGATTGTACGCAGGTTTGGGTGGTTCAGCAGGAGTACTTTCTCCAACCATAGGTCCGGAGTTAAAGCCACCCTGGCCCCCGTACCCACCACTAATACCGGTCATAGATGACATCGGTTTCCCACCACGCTTGTTCGATTCCAGTTTCTGGCGCTGCAATTCTTTAGCTTTCTCCCTCATCTTGTTTTTAGCCTCCCTCATCTGGGTCTCACGTACAGCATTGTAGACCTTCTCCTCGTGAGAATCCATCTCTACGAAGGTTCTAATCTGAGCTAGGTTCACGGACTCTCTGTATCCTAAAGCAACGATTTCATCGAAGGCAAAGATGAGATTGAACGAATTTTCTAAAATTTCGGCTTCGTCCATGTTTCTACAGTACTCTGGAACCACCCGTGCAAAGAGGCGCAGAGTTTCCAAGTCCTCCAATATATTACTGGCCTTGGTGGTGATTAGAAGCATGAAGAGAGCGTCTAGAGGTTGATAAACATACCTTACGCTTTCAGTCTCAACGAAGGTGTGTTGTTTGCCTCCGGTCATAAGTTTGGGGAAAGCAGCAAGTAGTCCTTCAATTCTTGATTTTGACATTTCAACAAATTGACGAGAAATCACGGCCTTCCCAGACTTGGAACACACGGCGGCAGCAATCAAGACCATTGTGATCCAATTTTCTGAAAAAAATGAAGAATTAATTTGGTAAATAAGATATTCAGCAAGTGTACAGTTTGCCACGTCATACAACCGCAAGACTTGAGAAATCCTTGCATCAGACTTAATCCTACATGTTTCTTTATTAAAATATCAATATCTAGTCTAAAAATAGCAAATCTTTAGATTAAATAAATTATTAACCTGACTAAACAAAAAAAATTTCAAGATAAATCAGAATTTGTTTCGAGAACAATGCCAACGGAATTGAAAGCTGACAGAAACCGAGAAAATTCTTCCTGTCGATGCAGCTGAGTTTTAAATGGTTGTGTGCAAGTTCCACACTCGGATAGCAAAATATCGTCTTCATCAGTCATCAGTCCTCCTCACATTAGGTTTATTTAGTTCAGTTAGTTTTAAACGCGCAGAGTAATTTAAAAATATTTTTGAGCCTTATTTTGACTCAAAAGATGCAAAGTACATTTACGCCTCAAACGGTTTAACAAATTTGGACAAATTATAAAAAATCCATGGAACAACTTAGTCAATAGTCATGTCAGTCTAAATTATGTTTTTTGGGACTGATAAGAAATTTTGAGAAGAATATACCATTTCGTAAAATTTAATAAGGCTTATATAAATTTTTTCTTTTAGAAAATGTTAGGTTTTTCGAGTATTTTGGGTTTATATTGGCGTTATAATGATTGGAGATATATATATATATGGGACGCTCTGTATCTTCAACTTTGTAATGATCACCCTAGATGTCTATTTCAATGTGGCTTGCACATTTGTGTCTTGCCAGTCTTGCTAGGGTTTAGCAAGAACTTCAAAAAAATTCTTGGGAGTGGTGGTGAAATAAAACATTTTTGCATTTATATTTAAGGCCAATTGAGCGTAAGAGAATATCTTGGTTCAGTCGATATGCTGCTGATTTCGTTAATTTTGAATAAGAATTCAATCCCAAAAACGCGAAAATCAGGTTTAAAAAAAATAATGATATCTAAAAGTATAGCCCAAGTGAATAATAAACATTTTTTTAATTTAATTTTAATTAATTCGTTTAGATTTCGACAATTTTGCTTTTTTTTGACAAAATTGAATCTGAACAAAATTCTTAATAGCTCCGGCAATATTGAAAGCACAAAAAAGCAGACCACTTTTGGAAATGCCAGGGCTAGGAGAATTGGGATGTACAATTTATCAAAAAAAAAACAGCTGCAATTTTAGGATTTGAAGTAAAAAAACTGCATTTTTCATTTGTTGAATGGTTGGCTCAGTGCTCAATAATAAACCAAGTTCTTTATCTTTAATATCCATGGCTTGTTCTGTGTTAAAAAAAATACACTTCCAACAGATTTAAAATGAACGATATTATTAAATTAAACATGTGCGCGAAGCGGCAACAAACTTCTATTCTCCTTGTGTCTTTTCCGTGTATTTCTTAGTGTCCGCAGCTAGTCCCTGGCTTAGTCATATTCCCTATACAAAGTCCCCTATTACAGTCTACAGCAATTGTTTTGTAATTCATTCACTTGTCATAATTGTCCACTATTTAGTCCCTTAACCGTAGGTCTGTGCAGTCAAGTAGTAAGTAGTTCCTGGTAGTACTTGACTATATTTCGTCTGTACATAGTCCATAATAGTCGTTCTGATCAAAGCCATGCCTGTAAGGGGCTTACCCTGTTTTCCTCATATAATCTCCAAAGGTCCTAATAGTCTATTATAATCCTTATTATATTTCTTGTTATTCTTCTTAGGTTGTTAGGTTTTGTGTAAACTTAAATGGTATATGTGTTAACTCAAATTTGCATGTTTTTAGAGAGAGTAAATTAAGAATGACTGACTTTCTTTTAGTCGAAAATGAGAAAATAGTAAGATGGTCCACAATCATGATCATGCTGGAGTCAAGTGAGGGGGGGTGGTGCCTCCCCTAGTTAAGCCACTGCTTCCTATCAGTCTTACAAACCAGCCTACGCTAATCAATTAATTCTGGTGAAACACCCTTATAATTTTTCATGTTTTTTGTTGCTTTTTCTTTTTCAATGATACGTGAAAAAAACTTATTTAAATATAAGTAAAAATGTCCATTTTTCACAGTTTATCTTTAGATCTCATAAATATAAATTACTTCGCTTACATTTCTCTTCTTTGTGAGCTTACACTTATCAATTTCTGGTGAAACGCCCTTATATACTTTTCTGTTTATTTTGCCGCTTGTTGTTTTCAATTATACATGAAAAAGTCTTACTTGAATGTACGTAATATCTTTCACATTTTATCTCAGAATTTTAAACTACCACACTTACAACTTACGCTGATCATTTTAATTGGTTTAAATGTCCTTTTCTGTTTTTCGTTTTTTTACCGAATTTAATAAGTCAAAAATTTTTAAAATGTGTCTTTTTTAATCATCAACAAAATATAAGCTATATAAATAATTTAAGCAAAACCCTATGATTTTATTTTACCGTCAATTTTTCGTTGTATTATTTGGAACGAATAAAGATTTATATTATTATATTTTTTTACATTAAATATTCATCTTTCGACTAAGCAACTTCAAATTAAAACCTGGCTTAAAGCAAATAAAATAGCTGGATAGTGAATACCCAATTTTTAATTTTCATTCAGAAAACACTAGGTTTTTAGAGTAATGAACGCTCTGTATAAAACGTTTTGATTAGTGACCGTTTTTGCTCATCACAATATTCACAAATTAGTTGGTTGAAATCATTTGAATTATATTGATAAAGGAAATAAACAATTTGTAATATAAAATTTTTTACATTATGCGTAGAATCACAAAGTTTTAAACTGCTTTGTTTGCAAAGCTCGGAATCTTTATCCGGAAGAAAGGAGCCGGAGAAGATCCCTCTGGTTCAGCTAATCCGTTTTCATCTTGACTCTTTTCTCCAATATCTTCAGCAATATCATCGAACCCAACTCCGAACTCTGAGGGGACAAGAACGCTCGATATATCCAGGACTGAACAAGAGGACGGATCAGAACAGTAGGATAGTGCTAGTGTATGGTACATATCCACTGCTTTCAGACTCAGTTTTAACGGAGAAATTGTAGGACGTTGTAGCATGCTCCAACATCCAGTTACAAGGTACTGAGTTGCATTACAAGGATTAAGCAGGACCGCGTTAAAGTGTAGAGTATCGCCAACTTCAAAAGTTTCTGCGGATGATTCATATTCGTTCTCCGTTAAATAAACACTCTCAAGTATTTGCAGAGCGTAGCAACCTTCCTCCTGCATTTTAATTAGAAGAACACTTTGGTTTTTCATAATCACTATTCCTGTTCCAATCTCTACTACATTAGGGAATGTATGGAAAATTTGGGTTGGTTTACCATTCGCACATTCTTCAAGTTGGACATGAAGGGCCGCCTTGCTTAGTTTCTGACCTTCGAGGATTGTAGAACCAATCTCGCTTCGCAGAGTTGAAAAGAGAACTGGACTAGAATTATGATCATCCTCGTCTCCTATAGTTACCGCGGTAGCGTAATAAGGAATGTTTTCCGAATATCCTGGCACCTCAGGTTCCATCTCAACAGCTGTAAGGATAACTGGGTAACCAGGAACTACAGTGTCGGATATATTCTCCTGTTTATCCTTTATCTCGAGTCTAGATATATCAAAGAGTACGTTGATATATTGATTTACTTTAGGAGAAATCTGAAGCAAAGCAAACTCCTGCTCCGGTAAGACCTGGAGAATTCTGCCCTCTGCTCTGTTGAGATCAGGTTTGGAGCTCATATTCCGGGATTGAGAAAGAGTTTTCAAGTTTTCAATCTGATCACTGGTAAACCCGTTATCCTTCTTGTGTTTTAACTTCTCGTGAATCTTTTGATCTTGCTCACAACGGAAATATTGATTGCAAGGAGAACACATCGGACTCTTTACCGGGATAGCGTCCTCCACGAGCTTATCTTTGTTTTCGTCTACAAACCTCTGCATGTGCTCCATCACACCGAGATGTAACTCTAGTTCACGTTTCCTCATGTACTCGGTATTACACGGCAGACACTGAAATATGATTAAGATAATTTAGAAGTTATCCTGAACTTATTCTAAAAAAAACCTGAAATCATGGATTAGAATAAGCTTTTAAAATTTATTAACGCTGAAGAACGAACAGAACCCAACGAATGAATCCCAGAAAAGGGTTTTAGTATAAAGGCTGGGAAGGCAGTGCTTAGGATCCATTCAATTTTGATGCGGATCCGGATCCTGGATCCGCACTGGAAAAAATGGATCCGGATCCAGGTCATTTATTTAAGATTTACTGAATTTTTTTAACAAATTTTTTTTCTTCAAATTTTTGGTTTTGTTTTTTTCGCTTATTTTTTATCCTAAAACTTGATGAACCATTCAGAAATGATGAAATTTTTATAATCTCTCTTTTTTCAAAAGTTCAGATTTGGGGGTTTGGAGTAAAAAAGATATTTTTTTGTTGCATTTTTTGGTTGATATTTTGCCCCTTGGATCCGGATCCTAAGCACTGTGGGAAGGTATAATCTTAATGAGAACAAAAATAATAAAAAAAATCCCCAAAAAGTTTGCTTGTAAATTGCAACATTTGATTAGAGGTAGAGAAAAAGATGGAAATGAAAAAAGTGACGTGTCCCTTTGCTTGAGTTTGAACATTTAAGAAGTCTTCAAATTATGTTGATATATGGAAAAAAGTAAATACTCACTTTAAAGTATCCGTCTCCATGTTCGTAGATATCTACCATATCCATGTATAATCTCCATTCTCTACTGGGACACATCCCGACCTTGTGGATCTCCGAGAGCATATGTTTAAAGAACTCGCGGAGTGTTTTCAACCCAGTGCTACACCGTTTACAGTAGAAGAGTCTATCCGACATTATACACTCCACCTCGTCAGTTTTCGTCTTTAACCAATCCAAAATCTCATCATTTCCGGCCGTTGAACTGGGAATACAAGCTTCTGGTTCAGGTTCAGGTGTCGGAGATTTAGCGGCTCTCTCCCTTTCCTCTTCCTCTCTCACCAGAGTGTTTCTATCCAACCCAGATTTATCCTCTGCCTTGATTTGTACCCTGAGATTGTTACTATGCTTATCACCTGTAAGATGAGCTAAAAGTTGCATAGTTAATTGCTTTTCCTTTCCGTTGAGAAGAACATTACAGGTGTTACATTTAACCTTGGTCTTGATTTCCATTTGTGTAAACACACCACCATCAAATAGATTATTCAATAAACGTTCTTTAGCTTCCTTCATTTCATCAGAATCTCGTAAACTTTTATCCCTGGAGCTACGCTCATTCAAATCTTTCCCCTCCCTCACTAAACACATTTCTTCAATTGTTGTACAGCGTTCTCCTGAAGACTCAAACCCGTTGATTCCGTCCAAAGGCATCTGTTGGGTCTGGATGAAAACTCTTCTCTTGTGAGATGCCGTGTTCTCATGATCTTTAAATTCATCCGAATTACTTCCCTTGAAATTACAATATTTACATTGAAAACTTTCTCCGTCCTTGGGTTCAGATTCCTGTGTGGTTGAATCCGAGGTTGGAACTGTGGGGAGTAGAGGTCGCTTCGGTTTATCAGTTTTCTTCTCACATTCAAATTCTAGATTGTGAACATTCTTCTTATGCTTTATCGAGAACCTGTGATCTTGAAGATGGGATTTATTACGACTAAACTCTTTACACACATGACAATAAAGGGTGGTTAATCTCTTGTGATCCTCCGATAAAATGTGCTCTTTGTTTTGTGTGATGTTTTCAGTCTGAAATGAACAGGGTGTGCAGTGATAAACAACTCCACTTCTCTCCAACCTCTTCCGCATCTCTTTACATTCCTGATCCAAAATTGCGCTGTCGAGGTTAACAGATTTCTTCTTGTGTGCTTGGGATACAATATGTCTTTTAGCGCTTTCAAACGGCATATTGTTTGCTTTACAGTCTACACAGGAGAATATTCTTCTCCCGTTCCTCTCAGAAACCTTGACAGATTTATTTGCATTAAGAAACAGTGCCTCCTCAGCTTCTCCTCGGTCCTGGAACCGACTCTTTGTTCCTTCAGTCGCCTGGGTTTGTTTGTTCTTGGCCAACGAATGATTTTCTAAACTGATATGATCTTCAGCATCTTCAACGCTCATACCCTGGATACCACAGAACTTACAGTCATAGGAAAACTTACCGAATCTTTGAATCTCCATGCTTCTCAGTTCCTTAAAAATTTCGGGGTTTGACGTCGCAAGGTATGTTCTCCGGGCAGCTGATGCTTTAGATGCATTGTCTAGTGCTGCTCGGTTTTGGGTAGATTTCTGCCCCTGATGAATATTAGATCGTTGAAGAGAATGGTCATGGTTTTTATACCTTGAACCTTGTACATTCACGTTTTCATTCACTTTGGGAGGAATAATCTCAGGAGGTGGAGTTTTCTTAACAATCTTGGTCATGACAAGCTTAAAGTTATTAATCTTATCTGGTTTTATCTTGGTTGAATCTTCAAAAAATATTGCTGAGTCAGGGAGTTTAGGCGGATCTCTTCCCTTGAGAACAGATACAGCAGATGCAAGATAAACAAGGTTCCACGAATTCTCAACTTCTACATGAACAGCGTTTAGACGGATTTTGTCTCCTACTTTCATATGATCGGTGAGGACGGGTGGACCGGCAGCAGGGTCTGGAGGAGCGTTGTTAATATATAGATCACAGGAATCAAAAAGAACAAAGAACCTCTTAGATCCTATTCCAGGAAGTTCCTGGTAACCACAAGCACAACCAAAGTTTCTCAATATAAGCTCGACCTTTGCCTCTACATTCTTCAGACTTGTTCTCCAACCAGAACTTCGTGCAACAACTAATCCTGAAGGCTCCATGGAACTCTCCAGCTTCAGCAAACTTGCCTCAAAGTTGTCCATGTTCCATCTTTCAACGGAATCCCAGCATCTGAAGTTCAAGGACTGTTTGTCATCATTTATTAAACTTACCACCTTCATCCACTCGTCCTTGAGAACATTTAACTGGCAGCTCCAAGTCGGGTTCTTGTCTCCGATAATCCAGAGCTCTGTAATGAGATAAGGAATTTTATTACTAGCGTCCATAAGAATAGCATTGGAGAGAACATACTTCATATTTCTCCAGAGTATGGAAGAAAGATCAGAAACATATCTCTTTGAATTTAGTGCGTTAAGGCTGAAAAATGCTAACGCAGACGAAGTTCCGAAGCTGATCTTCGCCAAACCGTATTTAGGGTTGGGTCTATCCAACCAGATAACCTTGATCTTTACGTCTTTATCCTTGAATAATTCTGGGAGCTCTCCTGATGCAACTTCAACCTTCAAAGGATTGAAAGTACCGAAATCGTTCTTGATATCCCCGTGAACATCTATACCTGCCAATCTTTGTATAGCAAACCTCGGTCCTACCCTTCTGTTTTGAGCCAATATCTTTTGGTCCGTGAACCTTACATCCAGGAAATGTTTGGATGCATTGCTCACGTTGTTACTGCAACACTCCAGGAATTCATGAACCTTTAGATCTAGTCTACATCTCAGGGTCAGGTTAAAATAGTACGCTGTTCCAAACTGTTTCCTAAAATATATGTATATCATATGTAAAGAGACCAATGAAACATTTTGTCTAGGAAAAAAATATTTATTTAAACATCTAAATTGTATATCTAAACTAAAAAGTTGAAAATATTCTCTTTATCATATAATATAAGCATATGTAAAATTAGCATTACTTAAATAAAATTTAATACAAATCTGCATAAAAGGTTCCTTTCCCATATTACTAATAACCATCCAATGCTTTAATTGCTAAGGTATACGTATTTTTAGGTATATTTACGTAAAAATTCGTATGCTCGGCTTTTTGGTAAAGGACTTGAGTATATTTACGTATTTTTACTTATTTATCATACCAAACGAGTTTTTTTTTTATAAGTGCTTAAGTTTTCCAGAAACGTATTTTACAAATAATTGCGTATACTTTTTACCAAGTAATTTTTGTGAAGTTTTAGGTTTTTATCTTACGAATTTTTAGACATTTTTTCGTTTTTTTCTTTCTTTAAAAATTGTAAACGTATTTTACGAATAATGCGTATACTTTTTACCAAGTAATTTTTGTAAAGTTATTAGGTTTTTATCTTACGTATTTTTACGAATTTTTTCTTTCTTTAAAAATTGTATTTTTTTAGAATTTAAAAGTTTGATGCAAATCTAAAAATAAATATTCATTGGATTTTTTAGGTTTTTACATACGCATTTTTACGTATGTCATATACGTATTTTTACAGATATAAATACGTATTTTTACCAATGAAATGGTTACGAAAATACGTATGGAAAACGCATTGAAAATACGTATTTTCACGTATTCCAAACCTAAAAATACGTATATGTACGAATGTCATACGTATTTATAGGTTTTCCGGTTATTTTTTTAAACAATGGTCTTAGTGAAAAAAAATATAAACAACTTGAATTGCCCAACGAAATAATCCAACTTATATTAACCTGTTAAAACTGGAAGGATCTCTTCTGAAAAATGTCGGGATCGGAGCACCTCCTGTTTTAGTCTTTCCGGATACAGGGTTTATAAACACAACAACAGCTTGGAGCAAAGGAATCTGTAGATCTTTGTATTCCGAGATGTGTTTCTCAAGTAAACTCTTCAGTCCAGAGTAGGATTCAGTATTCGCGATGCTTCGAGCAATCAGATTTACTTGGGTATTCTTGAGATGGGAAATCTGAATATCAGATCGAACCTGTTCCAAACAATTCATCTTATTATATTCTACTAAATTAGTTGTTTCATTATATTCTACTAAATTAGTTGTTCCAAGTAGTTTCATAGTTGAAATACTCTAAAACTGTACTACTTTCTGTCAAAAAGCTTTCTTTTCGTTAATTCCTAATATTTAGAGTGGGGAAATATTTTTTATAAATAACTTTTAATGTAGAAATTTTAGACTGGACAAAGATAACTTGTCTAAATTTGAAAACTATCTTTTGAATTAAAAATGCAAAATCTGATGAAATGAATACCTTTATTAATTGTTTCCCATGCTCATCATATACATCGTCAATATGGAATATAGCATACATCGTCATTATCTTGTTTGGGTTCTTGTACTCCGGTATAGAAACCTGGATGAGACCGAGGTGAGTAGACTCGCTAGAGAGCGGAGTGAGAACTACTGCTTTACCATCAGAGGGGAGCATATTTAGAGATACAGGCACAACCACAGGCTCGGAATTCTAATCAAATATTGTTTAAAATCTTGTCAGTTGATTTTGTTTTTTTTTTAACAAGGAATAAGCATGCTTCTAAACTGTCTGGACAGCATCCCACATGAGCTCACAGAAAGAGCAAGGCCGTTTTTTAAACTTACTCATTTTAACATAAATCAGTGCCAAATCTATTAATCTATACAGTGTCTGAAGTGTTTGTTCCGTTTATTTCCATAAACGTCGTTTCTTTGTTTATTTCCCATATACACGAATGATAACAGGAAAGTGTAAAAGACTTTCTACCTTCCATTTTAAGTGACAAAACTATTTCAGCATTGAAAAATGGTTTTTCGGTTTGAAGCAATTTTGTTATGTAATGAAACGAAATTTAAAATCTTCTCCGGAATGTTTTTCAGCTATATAAAATATATATAACAATACTAAAAATAAAACTAATATAATCTCAATTAAGGTTTTAAAAGATCGTCTGACCAAACCTGACTAGTTCTTGTGACGGAGAGTAGAGCATTTTGCTTGAATCTGTCATGAAGGATATCCATCTTTCTACTCATCTCAACCCTCTTCTGTCGAACAGACATCATTGTTGTAAAAGTATCTGGCGAACTAGATCCAAATTCAGGTTTCCAGATTAGAGTTGCCTGGTATCGGAGTTGGGAGGATCTCTCATATGGAATTGTTCTAGATAAGTTTTCTAATAAGTTAAATTAGATTTAGTAAGTTAAAGGTAAAATTTTCAACACAATTAAAATATCCTTTTTTACCTGACCAGAACCTTGACGGTAGAGCCTATTGGTAGATAATTGTGAAGGGATTGAGAGACTGTATTCAGAAGATAATTTCCTTTTCCGTCCCAAACCTGATCTAAAGAAAATAAGGCAACTCCCATATCATCGTCCAACATCCTGAGAAATACGACTTGTAATTTTAAATCCAATAATGAAATAAACCAGAGGGAAAAGATAATGAATTTTCTGTACACCATCTTCAGTCTTTGCATATTAAGAACACATAATAAAATTAAATCGTTCCTGACGAGTCCAGTTTCATAGCTGACATATTCTTGTACAACTGCGTCTCTGCAGGTAGAAAACAAGCTGTTTGTGACGTTCTGGTTTCCTTTTATATTCTTAGCGATCCTCTGCAGGTCTTCAAAATACTCTTGGGTTCGACAGTTTTTAGGAGAGGGTCCTTCCTTCCAAATCATTGTGGCTTGATTTTGATAGCTGCCAAGATCTCGCTTGCTGTAAAAGCAACGAAGTTTTGCTCCAATTGGAAATTTCATTCTAACTTCTACTGAGGAGTATATTTCCCGCATTTGTGTCCAGGAGGACTTGCTCACATTTTCCCACATCTGGTTAAAGTGGAAGGATATTAGAGCTCCGTCTCGAGAACAGAGAATCCCACTTTCTTCATCCAACCAGGAATCTATGGTTACAGGGATCCCAGAGTCGTCTGCCGGAATCTCGTTGAAGGGCCGGGGTCCTATGTCCACAAGATCTTTGAATTTCCAGCGTGTGTGTGGAGGAACCTCCGGGTATTTGGTGATAAATGAGACACCAAGGTTATCTCTCTCCGGACTAACATACCGAGGTCTCTTAGCTTCGGGTAGAGAAGCTTCAGGTTTATCAGGACTCCCGGAGCGTTCTCGTTTAGGTTGAGGTTTGATTAATTCTACAGAATCAACCGATGTCAGATCTTCGGGTAGAGGTTCATTGTTCCAACTTTCTTCTCCCTGGTCTTGGTCAAAGCCTGGCAGTTCAGGTTGAATCAACCTGCGAAAATCATCAGGTGCGTTCTTTTTCTTCTTTTTTATCTCTGAATCATATCGCTCATCACCTCGAGACCTTAAAATGAAATTCATAAAAAGATATACCTTTCAAAATTTATTAAGGAAATATACCTTTCCCTTTCAGTTCTGCGATATCTGGTCTGTTCTTCTCTAATTTCATCCTTCAGGTCTCTTCTTGTATCCGGGGTTCTTCGGCCTCCAGAAACACGGGGTTCAGACTCCCTGGAGTATCTGTCTGATCTATTGGATCTGTCTGGTCTATTTGATCTTTCTGATCCTCGAGATGAATGCCTGTGATCTCTATCCGAGGATTCCCGCCTTTCTTTACCCTGTCTCCGATAATCCCTCTCCGAACTGTAACTACTTCTGTCTCTATCATCGGACCCTCTACTAGATTTATCTCTATGCCGGTCATAATATGAACTCCTGTCTCTATCTCGCTCTGCTGATCTTTCTCTGGAATATCTGCTCTCTGAATTTCTTTCAGTTTTATGTCGATCATCATAAGAACTCCCGTTTCTGTCTCGACCCGTTGATGTTTCTCTGGAATGTCTGTCCGATCTATCCTTCCTGTCCTCTACAGAACTTCTTCTAAAATATCAAGATAAAAATCAATTCAAACAAAAGTGTTATTATCGATATACCTGTCTCTGCTGGTATTATCTGACCAAGACTGTATTATCGATATACCTGTCTCTGCTGGTATTTATTATCTGACCAAGACTGTATTATCGATATACCTGTCTCTGCTGGTATTATCTGACCAAGACTGTATTATCAATATACCTGTCTCTGCTGGTATCATCTAACTAAGACTGTGTTATCAATATACCTGTCTCTACTGGTATTATCTGACCAAGAATGTGCTATCAATTCTTTATCCTGAAATAAAAAAAAAAATTGTAGGAAAAAAAGTAATACAATTTTAAAAAAAGAATATGGTCATCAGATTGGTGCATTATACCCAATACACCCCCACCACCACCGCCTAAAATATTTAAATATTTATGCATTGCACTGACCGTTGCCTTGATTCCCCAGGTCAAATCATCTGCTACTCTATTGTAGGTTTCCAGGTTCTCAGGGTCTGTCGGATAGTACAATAAATTCACATTCTCATGTTCATAATCCTCATCCTCGAACCAAACCGAGGTAGCTAGGTACGCAACCATCTTAGAGTTGCTCTCTTTCTTTGCATGAACCCGGAGTTTGGTTCCCTCTGATAACCACTGAGACATGGAGTCTATATTTCCTCTAGGGCGGATGAACTGACAACCTCTGAACAAACAAACCGCCGCCTTAGATCCCTCTATGAGAGCTAGACCTAGCTGCAGGAAATCTTTTACAAAGAGAACCCTTGCTTCACAATTCATCACCTGTTAAACAATTCATTCAATTTAAAATTTATTGACGTAATTGTAGGAACGCTATATTACCAAACGTCAATCCAAAGTTGTTTATTCAGGTTGCTTACTCTAAATGCGCTCTAAAGTACGGAAAATGTCGCCTTCTAAGTAATGGACAGTAAAATCCGTAAATGACGTCACTATTCACTATACTCGCCTCTATAATCAGTGACGTCACATTTACGAATTTCACTGTCCATTGAAACTAAGCAACCTTAATAAACAACCTTGCTCCAATCACTAAAGGATTCCAGGATTTTTACAAGTAAATTTATTAATAAACTTCATGAAATATTTTAGATGAATGAAATTTTCCTTTAGAGGCAATCCATCCCACCTCAATATTTCTTCCTTATTCATTTTTCACTAAGTTTAACCATCTGGAAAAAATACAAATAAAAATTTTCAAATAAAGAACAATTTTATAATACAGAAATGGAACCAAATCTTAATCAGTCACTGGTATTTAATGAAAAAAACAAAAACAAAAAACAAAAAAAACGAATAACTAGGAATATTTGACCAAGACTAGAATTGTTGAGAAGGGACAGGATTATTTAGACAGGAATTTGAAAGGAATTGGGTTATCTAGAAAGGAAGTTCTTTATTCTCTAGAAAGAAACTGCATTCCTAAAGGAACTGGATAGCCTCAACTTAACTAGAAAGGCTCTAAATTGTCTAGGAAGAATCCTGATTGTTTAGAAAGAATCTTGATTGTCTAGATAGAAACTGGATTGTCTAGACAAAATCAATATTGTCTAGAAAGGATCAGGATTGTCTAGAAAGGATCAGGATTTCTAGAAAGAATCTGGATTGCCTAGAAAGAATTTTGACTGTCTCGAAAGGATCTGGATTCTCTAGAAATGATCTGGATTGACTAGAAAGAATATGGACTTTCTAGAAAGGATCTGGATAGTCTAAAAAGAATCTAAATTATCCAGAAAATCTAAATAGTTAAGAAAACAGCTGGATTGTCTAGATAGAATCAGGATTGTCTAGATAGAATCAGGATTGTCTAGATAGAATCAAGATTGTCTAGATAGAATCAGGATTGTCTAGATAGAATCAGGATTGTCTAAAAAGGATCTGGATTGTGTAGAAAGGATCTAAATTGTCTAGGATGGATCTAAATTGTCTTGAAAGGATCTAAATTGTCTAAAAAGAATCTGGATTGCCTAGAAAGAATTTTGATTGTCTAGAAAGGATCTGGTCTGTCTAGAAAGGATCTGGATAGTCTAGAAAGAATCTAAATTATCCAGAAAATCTAAATAGTTTAGAAAAAAGCAGGATTGTCTAGAAAGAATCAGGATTGTCTAGGTAGAATCAGGATTGTCTAGATAGAATCAGGATTGTCTATGTAGCAACAGGATTTCCTCTGAAGAATCTGTATACAAGAACTCCAACTGAAATTGCTGAGAGAAGAGTGAGGTGTGAGAACCAGCGTGGTTTGCATTCTCTCTGTAAAGAATCTACTGGAAGAGGAAAACATTCTGCTCCCTGGTTTTCAAGCTCTCGTGTGAGGAGTATAATCTCTCTTTGTAAACCTTGAACTCGGTCTGAGCAATTGTTCAACATTTTCAGAAGTTCTGATGGAGACACGACATCACTTCCGGCCTAAAACAGAATATTCAGGTTTAAATATAGATATTTTCCTGAAAAGTACAACATATGTACACCAGGGATAGATTGTTTTTCAAAACAATGGTGGGGGTGGGGGTAGGAATTGACTAAATCTTGCTTAGTATTTCTCTTTTATACTTTTTGCCGAAAATAACAATTTCATTCATTAAAATCACTAAGTCAGTGATAAAATAATCCTTAATAAATTCCTAACAAATTAGGGGAAAAGTTTTTTATTTATTTTTCAATTAACCATATTTATTCGTGCATACATTAAAAACAGTTTGTAAACATGTTTACAGTGGAGATTTGTTAAATCTATAAATAACCTTTACTGATTTGTCTGTCTATTTGTATAAAAAACCGTTCTTAAGGGCTTTATTTTTTATGGACCGTTAAAATTTACCGATTTTACCCCTTTAAATTTTTTACATTATTTTTTTTTTTGAAAATACGTCAATTTAAAAGAAAATCCGCGAAAATTTGAGAATGACAAAAATGGCGACGTTCAGAGACAATTTAAGCAAGGGGATTGAGACGCCCTGAGAGCATATTTGAATTAAACTTCCTACCTTGAGAAATCTATTTGTGTGATCTCTAGCCTGTAACCTTACATATGCAACACTAGCCTTCATGAAGGTTGCATGAATGGAGAGGTTTCCTAGCACTCCAGCTGCTTCAGGGCAGGTCAACCTTCATAACGAGAAGATTTTATTTTTGGATTAAAAAATATTATTAAAAGAAAGAACAAAATTTTTTATTCTGTAAGATTAATTGATTGACTGATTGACGTTTATTTATATTTTCATCTAAAGGCGAGCATTTTAAATATCTATTCCGTAAGTGTTAAACATTAATTCATGTTCAGAGATCAATTCTGTCCAACCTTAGTCCTGCAAGTTTATCCATGAAGCTGACAGAATGTAAGGATTGTTTCTCCCAGATCCTCTTATGAGTTTCCACCTGTCCCTCCAGGATTCTCTTCCTCACTCCTATACTGTCAATTCCAAGCTCTATCAGATCCGTCTCACTATAATATACCATAGGATTATAATTTAACAGTTTTTGAGGGAATATATGCATTAATTTATAATTTTTAGTATTTTCCATATTAATACTTTATTCTTTAAACTCTTGTCCTGTTTTATCTCATCAGTGAAACAAAAATTCAAAAAAAAGAAAATTAAGATTTACTTCAGAAATTGTTAAATCTTTTGTTAAATATTGAGAGGATTACCTGAGGGTTAAAAACTCTGCAATTCCTATCTTGTGTTGGTAAAATGACCCCTACGAAAACAATAAAAAATGTATTAATTAAAACATCATACAAAAATTAATTATTTCTTAAGGGCTTGCGAAAAAAAAATATTGTTTTAAAGTTAAAAATTGAATTTAACAACCTTATACTCTTCTAATCCAAGGCCAAGAAGTATACTGTCAATCTCGCGAGGTTTCTCAAAATTTTCCAAGAAGGTCTCTCTTCCTAGCTTGAGCCCTTTCATAGAGCTGTATTTCTCCAGAATCTCCTCTAGAACAGGCTTTGAGTGTTGAGCAGCAAGATCTGCAGCTCTCAGTCCATCTTCACTGATAATATCCGGGTCAGCTCCCAACTCCAGCAAGGTTCGAGCCACTGCTCCGTGTCCTCCGTCTACTGCGTACATAAGGGCAGTCCAACCCTGAATAATATGCTCATAAACCTAGAACTTCTACTCTAGATCAGTTATTAATTGAAAAATCAAATGCAAAACCTGAGTATCCGTCCGGTCGATATTTGCTCCATGCTGACACAGAAACTGTACCAATGCTAGATGTCCATAGCTGATTAGGCAAATAGGAAACGTTATAAAAATATATTTTATAATAATATCTATCATCAACCATATAAATTTAAAACTTAAAAATTAACACCTGGCTGAGAGGATTAATGGAGTTTTCCGTTGATTCTGTACAGCGTCAACTTTCTCATCTTAACGAATAATTTCTTAAGGTTTATATCAAGTTCGAAGGTAAGGGTGATCTTAAAGAAAGTTGTTTATTGAAATATTTGATCTAACTGAAAGATTCGTTTACACTGTTATTAAATAATTAAACTATTTATTAATCAAATTTATTAATAATCGGTTTGACTTGGTATCTGGTACCTATGGAGATGAGAAGTTCAGCAGTCTTAATAATGTTATTTTCCGGAACCGAACTAGGATCAACAGTGGCTAGGACGAGGAACCCGGATACTTTCTCCGATCCTCCAGACTGAATCCTTCCTCCTGCCTCCAGAATCCATCTTTTAATTGATGTAAGTTATTTTTCTATTCTACTTTGTATTTAAAAAATGTTTGCAATAAATCTTAATTCTACAGAGACTTACTTGAGAAGTTTATAATCTGCTCTGCTAACAGAGTATAGAGCTAGAGACCAGTTGAAGGCTGAACTCAGAGAAAAGTTTATATCAACTCCAGCCTGATTTACCAGCTGGGATACCAGCTCCAGATCACCACTGTCTAGAACCAGACGAATATCACTGTCGAAATCATCATCTATTTTCTTGCTGGCCGCTGCTAGAGGAGTAGGATCAGACTCCTTATCAAGACCCTGAACAGACACGATTCCAATGGTTTATACTTGATAAAGTGGACTGAGTATACATTATACAGGGTATTCTTTTTAGCAGTGCTTAGGATCCGGATCCGTTGGATCCGCAAGATTTTGGCTTCCTGGATCCGAATGCACGGATCCGGATCAAAGGGGCAAAATATCAACCAAAAACTGAAAAAAAAAATACTCTCAAAACCCAAATCGGAACTATTAAAAACAGAGAGATTATAAAAATTTCCTGATTTCTGAATGGATCATTAAGTTAGCATAAGTTAAGCATAAAAATAAGCGAAAAAATTCAGTAAATTAAGAAATAATCTGGATCCTGATCAATTTTTTCCAATGCGGGTTCGGGATCCGGATCCTCATCAAAATTAAATGGATCCTAGGCACTGCTGTTTAGGGGAATAGGAATGTTTTTTTTTAATGGTTTTTATCGTATAATTAGAGAAAATAACTGAGGGGTTACTCTGAAAATGGATACAATAATTATTAATAATATGAACAAATAATCGTTAATCTGTTTTATTTATAGTTCAACTATTTTTGATTAATTTCCTATGTGCCCAATAAAATGTTTTGTTTCTTACAGAATATTAATATCTTTTAAATTCTTCATTTTTGTTTTGTGTTCGAGATAGGATTTGGATTGTCATGATCATACAGCAACATTTCGGTATTTTTGGGCACGGTAAAAAAATGAAGAAATTACCAATATAAAAGCAATAACAATAAGTAATTTCTAATTCAGATTAGAGCCGACTGGGTATCTTTTGAAGCTTAACTCCAAAAACGCTAGTCTATATATAAATTTAGCTAGTCTGTCTGGGTGTCTGCTTGTTTGTTTGTCTGTTTGATTGTATCCAATAAACGTAAAAACGGCTGAACCGATCGGGCCCAAATTTTTGTAGGACCTCACGTGACCCCGATCGGTTCAACAAATGCTTAAAAATCGATTTTTTTAAAAGTCTACGGGCAACGCCGGGCACTTCAGCTAGTATACATTATTCACCAGGCCTTACACATGAACAAGTCGTCAATTTTTAGATTACAATTACATATCTACGCCCATTTGTTAGAATTATTTATTATATTAGATAAAACTTCTTAACCTGAATTTGTGATCAGATAGTTGCGTATTGCAAAGAAAAATGGTCGCTTAAAAATACTAAGTAAATTCTAACGAAATCAATTGACAAGATATCTAAGGTTTTTAATTTTAGCCACGCTAATTTTCACCAATTTCTGTAAAACAATTGGAACAATCTTAGCCAAGGGTTACTTTCAAAGAATGAGACTGTAACGACGACCTGCAACTCTTTTATTAATATAATTTGTAAATTTGGTTCCAGGTTTTATACCTTCACTAGTTTCTCTGCTCCGTCCGTACTAAAACATATATCGGAGTCTGAATCAGAATCTGAGAATCCATCCGGACACATTCTTTTTCCTGAGTCAAATCCCATTTTTTATCTGAAAATGTATTTCTAAATGCTAATTCCCTGAATCCCTAGTTAACAAATTATCTAGCACCTATGGTACCTTTCACATTTCTGGATTGACAAGATCATAAAAAGGAAGCCAAGGATACCAATTACATTTTTCATATTTAAAACACGTTGTAAATTCTACTATCAACATCTTCTATAACATTTTTTAAAAATCTTTATAATTTACCAATATAAATCTTTTATAAGGAATCCAAGAAAACGACTAAATAACAGACATGCCATTGTATGTTTTATCATATTAACAGTCATGCCATTGTATGTTTTATGCATTTCTCATAAGCAACATTACTAGGATATGACTCCAAATATTCTAAATTATCTGCACTTGATTCCAAATATTTGAATTTCACGTTCAAAATTTCATAAATTATCTATTTAAAAATATTCGTTTCTATATCTTACATAATTGACAAGAGTTTTCACATGGTTTTACTGAAATGAGAATTATAGCGGCATGTTGGAGTGTTTTTTCCAAGGATGCTCTGCTTGCTTGGTTGAAAGTAGTTCTAAATCCTGAAATAAGAATACCAAATATATACATACCACTTGATTAACAGAATAATAATCTTTAATTTCAACCTTTAAGATATGTTCAACAAGATAATTACCTCACAAATACGTTTCCTTGTAGTAGCAGGTTCAATTATATCATCAACGTATCCTCGTACAGCAGCTGGAAAGGGGTTTCCAAATTTATCAATGTACTCCTGCTCGTTCTTCTCTGATCCTTTACCCCGGAAAATAATTGAAACTGCTCCCTTGCTTCCCATCACAGCAACCTTAACAAAAATCATTCAATTAAAGATCCATATAATAATAATTTTTCCCCTCACTTTTAAACAAAATTATTACACTGGAGTCTTTACATTTGAACCTTAAAGATTTTATGTAAAATTGCAACCTCAGGAATGCAATGTAATATTAAAACGTTAGGGATGCAATGTAATATTCCAACCTTAGGGATCCAATGTAATATTGCAACCCTAGGGATGCAATCTAATTAATTGCGAAATTTTCTGCCAAGAATTTGCCGATTTACAACTTCGAAAACATCTATCTATATATTTGGCTTGTCTGTCGAGTCTGTCTGTTTGTTTGTATCCAATAAACGTCAAAACGGCTGAACCGATTGGGCCAAATTATGTGTGGGACATCACGTGACCCCAGGGAAGGTTTATAAATGATCAAAATTTTAAACATTTTTGTTTAAAAGTTTTTTATTTTTGAAAAATTTTGAAAATGCGCGAAAAAATATTATGAAATCCGCAAACTTTTTTTGTTTTTGTTTTATACTGTACATAGAGAAGATGCTCACAGATAAAGCCACAATTAAAAGTTGAAATAGAAGATAAGCGCAGCCTAGTTCATTAGATTTGATTTCTGAACTAAAAAACTATGTGTTACAAAACTAAATAGATTTGACAGTTTTTAAAACCTAAAGAAGGTTGATTTTTATGCAAATTAAAATGTTATATTTTGTTTATAAATAGTTAATTTTTACCTCGGCAGTCGGCCAAGCGTAGTTAGTGTCTCCTCGTAAATGTTTAGATGACATAACATCATAAGCACCTCCATATGCTTTCCTTGTAATAACAGTAATTTTTGGAACAGTAGCCTCGGCGTAAGCGTAGAGAAGTTTAGCTCCATGTCTAATAATTCCTCCGTACTCCTGAGCAGTTCCAGGTAGGAAACCAGGAACATCTTCAAATGTTAAAATGGGAATATTAAACGCATCACAGAATCTGATAAATCGTGCTCCCTTCACACTGGCATTAATATCTAGACATCCTGCCGCATGTTTAGGATTGTTTGCAACTACGCCGACAGTTCGACCGGCCATTCGGGCAAACCCAGTGATAATATTTTTGGCGTAGAGCGGCATCATCTCGTAGAAATCTCTCTCGTCGACCACACCAAGAATAACATCCATCATGTCATAGGCAGTAGTAGACTCAAGAGGGACAACAGTGTTTAAACCTAAAATTTAAAATATTGAAGATGACAAATAAAATAGTGATGTAAAAAAAAGAAAATTATATTTCATTAAAATGATTTTAGATAACTAACCAGGAACATATCTATCCCAGGGATCATCTGAGGACCGAACAGGTGCAGGATCCCTGTTGGACTGAGGTAAGAATCCCATAAAAGTCCTCAACTGGAGAAGAGCATCAATATCATTCTCGAAAGATCTGTGCGCTACTCCAGATACGGTTGTGTGGGTTTTAGCCCCTCCTAGTTCCTCCTGAGTTACCTCCTCACCAGTCACTGTTTTAACTACGTCAGGTCCAGTGATAAAAAGGTATGAAGTGTCCTATAAAAAAGTCATTTATAAACAAAACCAATCTTGGTTATATTTGTCATCGATTACCTTAACCATAAAGGTCCAGTCTGTGAGTGCAGGAGAGTAAACTGCTCCACCGGCACAGGGTCCCATAACCAGGGATATTTGAGGGATTACTCCGCTAGCGGAAACGTTCCGTTGGAAGATATCTGCATATCCTGCCAAAGATTCAACTCCTTCCTACAACAAAACTTAACATGAAACCAAATTAAAATATTTCACTTTCTTCCACTTAATTCTAAAATAAAAGCATTGAAATGTATAGAGTGTTCGCGTTTTACTTCACCTGTATTCTGGCTCCACCGGAGTCGTTGAGTCCGATTAAAGGTGCTCCGACCAGAACTGCTTGGTCCATTATCTTGCAAATTTTCTTAGCGTGTGCCATGGATAGAGACCCACCAAACACCGTGAAGTCCTGGCTGAACACATAGGTTCGGCGGCCATTAACAAGTCCGTGGCCGGTAACTACCGAATCCCCGGGAATTTTCTCCTTCTCCATCCCGAAATCGGTGCAGGTGTGCTCCATGAACATATCGTACTCTACGAATGTTCCTGGATCCAGTAAGACGGATATACGCTCTCTAGCGGTTAGTTTACCCTTTTTATGCTGTGCATCAATCCTTCCTTGACCACCTTAACATAGAATACAAAATCAAATGAGTATAGGAGAATACGAGATGAAATCTGAAAAAAGTCCCATCATGGCCAACCCACACCGCTTACAAGTGTAGCAATACTACTCGAGTTTATTTTTTCTCAAAAAATCATTTCCCCTCCTCCCTCATTCTAGGATATATTTTTTTACTCCTGAAGTTTACTATGTTCGCGCGGAGTGCAAACAAATTTTAAAGGTTTTCTTCGCTGAAATTGAGAGAATAAATGAATTTTTGGGTAAAAAGTATCGTGTTCATTTTTCTAAAAGTAACCAAAAACCTGCAGAATAATGCAATTCCCTTGAGTAAGAACTTATCTCCTGGAAGCGTAAGAACTTATCTTCTTGAACTTTCAATGAATTCATTAAAAAATTTAAAAATTTCCTCAATTTAGATACATGGCTCAAGAAGCATTATCTAGAGTTCCCCCCAGTATAAAAATTGGAGCGAAAATTTAAGACTCAATATTTACATCATTTTGAAAGATAACGGTTTGGAATTTTTTTAAATTTTTTTGGGAATATTAATTTAGAAAAGGGACCATTTTTTCCTCATATCACTTGTTCCTTTGTGCAAAAGTGAAGCTGCGGCTTGAGAGAGGGGGGGGGGTTCTATTATGAAAAAAAGAGCGGAAGTAGAGTGAGCAGGCACCTTCTGACCATTTAATTTTGAGTTCCGAGAAGAGATAAAAAAATTCCCTGTGGCGCCAAGGCGTTTTTTTTTATAAAATCATGCAAGCGAGCCAGGAAGGTGAAATAATGTTGTCCCATAAACGTTTAGTTTTAGTCCTCAATGGACAGCAATAAAATGAAACTAGTAGGATATTAATTTATACGACTAAAAAAGGGCCCATGCTGAAACCCTTGACAAAAGAATAACTATTTAGTGAGAAATTAAGACTAAAACTAGAAATATTTAACACTGCTCGTTGTTTAGGCTACTGACAAGAATTGTCTAGATAGGATAAACAAGTTGAAGACGACTTCTGGACTAGCCTCTGCTCCCAATTATATACTGCTATGGTCTAGGTTATCGTCCACCTACCTCCTTCCTTTCTTCCTTCCCTCTTGGTCTCTTCTACTTACTACAGAGGCTTCTCCCAGGTAAGCGTGTTCATCTTTATCTATTCGCACAATATTGTATGTTTTAAATCTAAAACTTGTAAAATAAACCTCAGACTTACCGCCCAACAGAGCAGCGGCTCTCTTCTCTTCTATCTTCTGACGAACTTTAAGCGTCTGCAGAGCTCCCAAGCTACTACAGTTTCTGCTGCTGATTTTACAGGAGCTAGTGAGCAGAGCTCCCAATCGCCCCGGCATCATTATACTCATCTGGAATGTCTCAAATAAAAACAAATGAGAATAACATAAACATTATGGATATATATACATTTTATAAATGCAAGAAACTTTTAATAGCAAATTTATTTTTTTAATAGAAAGGATCGGAGTCGTCGCGTCGATTTCTTGATGACCTGTACTGTGTTGAATCATCATTCCAGTCATCTCTCCTGTTATTATACTGAGGTTTCCGTCTGTAAGAATCATCTCTATTCTTGTAAGATTTATATCCTTGAAATCCTCCTCCAGGAGCTCCGTATCTACGTTTCTGTATCTTATTCCCTCTAGCCTGGTGGACTAGCTCCTCTAGTTCCTCAGGAACTATTTGGTTTGCTTCTTTCAGAATATTGACTAGTTTCTTCGCCTGATTAGCATCATCATCACCCATAAATGTTATGGAAGTTCCCTTTTTATCCGATCGTCCTGTTCGGCCGATTCTGTGAACATAATTTTCAATATCGTTCGGAAAATCATAATTTATGACATATTCAACATTTGAGATATCTAGTCCTCGAGCAGCAACATCAGTTGCAATCATTATTTTACAATCACCGCTCTTGAACCTTTTTATCACATTTGAACGTGCAGACTGGCTTTTGTCTCCATGTATTCCCATTGCACGGATACCACTAAAAAATAAGAAGGTATAGAACTGATCTAAGTAATCAATACAAATTCAAAAACGACAAGATTTTAGCCATCTTTCTGCTTTCGTTGATTTAGGTTTTCAGGGTGCTACTGCTAATGTGAATCATTAATGGTATTTTCTGTAAAAGGGTCATTTAACTCCGATTTATATTTTAAAAACTGTCTAACTCCTACCTTTTCCGTATTATATGTTCTAATCTGTCGACAGTAGCTTTCGTCTCGGCAAATATTAAAGTTTTCTGATCTTTAATCTCTTGCAGTGTGTCGAGAAATATACCATGTTTACTGCTCTTGTCACACACAACCACCTTTTGGGTTATATTCTTGTTTGCACTCAGCTCTGTAGACCCGATATTCATGAACACGTAAGTTCCAAGAAAATCTTCGGCCAACTCCTAAAAAATTATAAGACTCCGTAAAAATCCGCCAAATAATAAATATATAATAAATACTCAGGCAGGGGCCGCCCGGTGTAAATTTTCTTGAAAAATCCTCTAACCCCCCTCCCCCCCAAAAAAAACAAAACAGTTTTTACTCCAGAATTGGAAATAAAGGGATTTTTAGAGAAAAAAAAAATAGTGTAGTGTAACTTTTATGGAAACTTTTGTTAATTTTTTGTTCCTACCTTGACATCTGTAGGCCATGTAGCACTGAACATTAAGACTTGTTTATCTCCTTGAATGGCTTTAAGAACATTTCTAATCTGAGGTTCAAATCCCATATCCAGCATCCGGTCAGCCTCGTCTAGTACCACATACTCAACACCACTGCAATCATATGTTCCAATATGTATTTATGTAACTTTTAAAGGATATTGTATTCAACTACAAGGTGTCTCTGAAAAAAGTGTGATTAGACTTTTTAGCCTAATAACCATCATAGTTTTGTGTTATGAAACGCCATTTTAACCTTTAAAGGCATTATTCTTATACAATGTGTGCATAGTAGGTACAAAGACGATAAATTGGGGGGTCTTCGTCGAAACATTTTGCTCTAAAATGCCGCTTCACTCGAAATGTAGTGAACCCTCTTTCCAAATGTTTTTTTAAAAAAAACTTTGAAATCTTTTTTCGTACTTCAGTTTTTGAAATCCTCAACTCTATCATTGAAGATGTACAATTTATTCTATTCTGTCTTATACAACTTAAAAATAAAATTAGAATTAGAATTTAAACAAATCAAACTTTGAAAAGGAGACCGAGAACTTTTCGAATATTAGGCCCATCTTTGAAGGTTTAAACGGCATTATAGAGAAAAATATTTCATCGACAACCCCCAATTTGAGGACATTGTACCTAATAAAAGCCCTTTTTAGCACATTTGAACTATATTTTGTAGGCTAAAAGGCCTAAACACACAATTTTTTCAGAGACTACGTGTAAAATAATTCAGAAAGACTTTTTTTATGGCCGGAGCTTTAAATGCTTGATCTCCTTATTTAATCTGCAGATTTATTTAATCTCCATTTTATATCCAGTTAAGTGTCTAATATTCAACGAATCAGGGTTTAGTTAGCAGAAACCGAAAAGCCAATCGGAGGCCTACAATTTTGCGTGCAATCAATGAGCAATCTCTCACTGGTGGGAATCCAGCATGGATATCCAAAAGAGAAAATCAAAAGTGTCCACAGTGGATATTGAGATGAGGGTAACGGGATAATTGGTTCCAACACAAAAGTTTCCAGCTCGGAAAATGAAGACCGGATTCTCTTTTCTCGGGAAAATAAAAGATGTTTCTATGGTTAAAACGTCATAGCCGACTAATCAGAAAAAAGTTAATCCACGAAGGAAGAATGAAATGAACTCTTTTCTCTTCATAAATTTTCGGTTAATTTTCACCTGATATTCATGTCGCCGGATTGTATAAAATCATTTAATCGTCCAGGTGTTGCTATCATCAGCTCAGGACCTCGATCATATCTCTCTAGCTGTCGATACCTGAAATAATTCAGTGTCATCATTATTTCAATTTAAGCCGCTTTTAACTTTGGGTTTTTTAAAATCTTTTTAAATTTTTCGCATTTGTAAACAAGACGGGTTACAATCCAAAATCAATATAATTAACCATTAACCCCTCTTCCCTTTCACAGCCTGTGTAAAACCGGTTACCTTGAGTCTCCACCTATACAGCATACGTTCATGACATTTGAAGATCTCCTGTATAGCTCTGACACCTCCTGTATCTGTTGAGCGAGTTCTCTGGTTGGTGTAAGGATTAGAGCTACAGGACCTCTGTAATCTGAACTGTGTCTTGTCTCTCGAGCCTTGTGAATATGTGCTAGAGCAGGAAGGAGAAATGCAAGTGTTTTCCCCGAACCTGTTTGTCCAATACCAACCATATTTCGTCCCTCCAATGCAATCGGTAAAGCCTACAATCAAAATAAGATATTTGAGGCGTACCGTTTGAGTTGGATACCAAATTTAAATAAATCTATACCTGTGATTGAATTGGAGTTGGTTTATCAAACTGCTTCATAACATGATTTAGAATATTCTTTGGTATTGAGGTCCCATCAAAGCTGAGAATAGGATCGGGTGCATCATTTCCCTCTACCCTTATACTGTGTTCTCGCATGTACTGCTCAATTTCACTCCGCTCATCTTCAGTCTTAAACGACGAACTTGTGGCAAAACCTCTGAAACCAAAACTTCCGACTGAATCAAATCCTGAACTCAGTTCCCGAATATGGCCATTTTGCCAAGTTTGTCTGACCATCGGCCGTATCGCAAGCTGCCATAGTTTGTTCATCTGAAAAAAAAACAATCTTTCTAAAATTTGTTATTTAAATTAGATTGCAGGGTTCAGAACTGCCAGGATATATCCAGGATAAATGACTCATGGATGCTTTCAGTTAGGACGATCATCTACTTGATGTCCTTGACCTGGAGGACGATCATCTACTTGATGTCCTTGACCTGGAGGCCTGGAGGTAGAGATTGCTTTAGCTTCTCAGCTTTCTCCTTGTCTGTGATCTTTAGAGTGTAGAGGAACCTGGAGCAACGAACCTGGAACGAAAAATATTATAAATGAACTAGTAATCAAAACAGTTACGGATGAGTTAGAATCTTCTAATCCGTAGTATATTAACATATGATGTCTCCGACTATGTTCGTTCTTAGAACGATGAAACCCACTCCAGTCGGCTAAACCAAATGGAAAGCATAATAAAACAAGATTATTTTGGCATCATCTAGCGTCCCCACACTATGTATAATTATAACGCAAACATACGTCCAGGACCTGGGGTTCAGGGTACATCATAAGGAGTAAAGATCTCAGAATTAAAATCTCTGATATCTTTACAGAGTTCATTTTGATTGGGAATCAGATATAAATCCAAATTTTCAACATCACACATTTTACTGTAAATCTAAATATTTTTTAGAAGTTTATCAGAGGGAGGGAAATTTGGCAGTATATGTCTTAATATTTTTACTCCTATAAATCTCAGAAAATATAAACCACTAGGTCCTTGTAAAAAGTAACACTTCTCATGTAATGTTATCCTAACAATTTTAAATGTGCATCTCATATTGAACACATGCATAAAGTTAGTCATGTGGCCGCAACGCCAGGCCCCCTAGCCTGTCCTAGCCGCGGTGCTCAGCCTCCTAGCCTGTCTTAGCCGCAGCGTTCAGCCCAGAAAGTGCTTTAACCTAATCATAAATATATACTACTTTTGATGAAAAATAGATAAAAATCAAAGGAGGGGGCCGGGGGGAGGTCCAAAAATCGTTCTCGAGGACAGACCCCGGGTCTGGCATGCATGCTTTAATATAACCCCAAGTTTTCTTGCCACATAGTCAAAAAGCTTGGTAACATTCCATTCTCATTTAGAATTTGAAACTGATCACAATCTCACCAAACTATTACATCGTTTCTCAGATCGTAAATCGATGATACAGCATTTTATCATCTCGTAACGAACAGATTACAATTACAATACAATTGAAAAGGTTAGATATGGAACAGTGGCCAAAGTCAATACTTGTAAAAATATTCGAAATGATTTTTTTAAACTTATTGTCATGGTCTGTTACAAAAAACTACTAACAAGTAACAACATAACAAGTTTTATCTTATGTTTCAGCATGGTGGTGCACCATTTGGTAAAAATAAATGTGTTGTGGGATTGCGCCGTAGAATTAGTAGAATCATAGCTAGGTTCATTACCTGGTAAACTACAAGATCCACACTCCAAAGAGTAAGAGAGACAAAGAGAGATAATACAGATAATCAGATTATCATCATCTAAAGGGAACATTTTTGTTCCTTATTAATATCTAAAATCTTCATCCATAGTCTCCCTATACAGAACATTGGGAACGCAGGGCTTTATGTGGGGAGGGGGCGCATGCACCCCCTGTTAGAAGGTTAAATACGTGTTTTTATTGTCCCCCCCCCGTAAAACGTTTAGTTACGAGCCTGATATATGCTTGCTATTTTCAAATTTTTTTTAAATAATTTGATTTTGTTTATCTTGAACAAGGATATTTTAGGTAATTTTTCAAGATTTTTTAAGTATAGAAAGAAATTAACTGTGAAATGAATGCAGAATGATTACAAACAAACTTTTTTATTAAAAGAATTTTACAAATAACAATATAGATACATTCTTTATTTATTTATTTTAAGTATGATTGCAACTCCCTTCTCTAGGCAGAGTTGATGGTCCCCTGGTATCTGCAGATAGAGAGCTAAATTCCCTTTCTCCGTCCTGTTTTTAGTCCAGAGAACCGGACAATTATATATGTCAGGGTTTCCGTTCCCAGTCACAGGACGCACTTCGATATTAGGAATCCTGAATTATAAATGTTCTGTAAATTTTAATGTTTTAAAACGTTATTAATTACCTTTTGAAAAAAATGCCTTTTCATAAACTTTTAATGCAAGGTGTTCCAATAATCATGGGAAGTACGGGGCGACATTAAACTCGTCTTTGATCGTTGATATTCAATGAATCCAATGACAATATACAGCCACAAACTCAAATATTCTAATCCCTATATCTTTCAAACCTAATGTTGTAAACCTTCGATATTTCTAACATTGGCTATTTGCTCGAGTTGGATTTATAGTTTGAAATATTAAAGTTCTACTTTGTCATGTTGCAAAGATATAATAGGGGTTAGAATATTTGAGTTTAAAGAAAGTCAACATTGTATATTGAATTTGACCTGTTTATTGTCTCAGATTGAGGGCTAAGCTCAGCTATCCTTGAGGTTGCATTATCCCACTCTGCTCCGACAATATGAAGGTTCTGGAGCACAACACTGTTCTCCTGGTCTCCTGAACCACCAACTGTTGTCTCTAGACTCACATTATCCAGGTCTAGTCCAACCGTTCTAGCGTACTCCTGAAACCAGATTGTTTAAGATAATTTTCAGATTGTGGAACAAGGATATAAGACAAAGAAGATGGCATTTAAGGTGGCAAAAATTGTAATATAAAACTGAAAACTATAAATTGTTTGATTTTGATTGGGGATCTCGGTTGAACCATATGCATGTTTTTAGCTGGATTTAAAGTTCTATATTAAGAATGTTGACTTTTATAGGGAAACCTGTGTTTCCAGGCTTAGCTAGGTTCACAAGATAGTGTAATTAAAATAAATTTGAAACCCAGCTTTGCACGGAAACTGAGTCTTACGATCAGACAAAAAACAAACTAACAGAGATTAGTGTTTTTTATATATAGATATATCTATTATATAAAGGTTCAAGTATCGATTATTGAATTTGTTCATTGATGTACATTTTCTAATTCCCCAATCCGGAGATAAGAAAACATAAACTCGTGCATTTTGTATTTACTGCGAAAAATAAAGTAAAGGAATTAAGCCTTTTTCCACAAACTCAAATTTTGTAATCCCTCTATCTTTGCATTCTGATGGTGGGAATTTTAATATTTTAAACTTAAATTATTTGATCTGACAGAAGCTTATAGTTTGAATTATATCTAAGGTCTACGACATTGGGTTGGAAAGATACAGGGATTAGAAAATCAGAGTTTGTGGAAAAGATTCAATTCCTTAATATTAAAAATAGAAAATATTCAAAATTTGTTTCAGTGAGCTAACCTGTTGAATAGCTGTGATGAAAGCGTGAGGATGAAGTAAGGCGGAAAGATTGAATAGTTTGGGTACTCCGGTCTCAGCCCAGGATCCTAGAAACTCTCTTCTAGTTCTCATATCTTCAATAAACTCAGCCAGACTCACAGATGTTGGACAACTCAGTTTCTAAAACGAAAAAAATAAATTAAAAAACACAGAGTAATTTTTTTTTTAAATGTATACCTTAAACTTGTCAAGAATTGAGTTTGTTTTCACGGCCTCAACCACTGACTCCACTTCGGACGTAACCACTTGAATACCGAGCATGGCAAGCCTGCAGGTCTCAAAGGTTTCTTTAGACATCTCCAGGAGCTTGTTGAGTAGCTCAACCTCGTGGAGTAGAACTACTCGGAGACAATTCTTTTCTTCTTCTAATCCGTCTTGGATGAGTTGTATTGGCTCTAAGGATAAAAAGTATTTTAGTGATCATGATTTAAAGAGATGTAAAAAATAATTTTAAAAAAATAAGACAAGTCATTGGTTTTGGTTTGTTTTTATTAGCAAATAAGAATAATTATTACACACTTTATACAGTCCTATTGCGTAAATGCAATTGCTTGTTTCCATCATATTTTGTACAGTTTAAAGAATTGAGTTTTTAACACAAACTCAAATTTTCTAACTCATATATCTTGGCAACCTGATGGCAGACACCTTGATATTTCATACTTAGGCTATTTGATCTAAAAAAATTCATAGTTTAAAATATCTAAGGTCTACGACATTGGGTTGCAAAGATATAGGTATTAGAAAATCTGAGTTTGTGACAAGGACTCAATTCCTTTGTCAATTTAAAAAATGTTTGACTGTTTAAAAATGTTTTTTTGAAACATGAATATTTTTTCTTACCTGGGAGATTTTTGAGAATTGTTTCAACTTTATCTTTAATTTCATGAAAAGAAAAATTTTCTTCTTTCTGAACTTTTCTATCCTGTGAAATAAGGATTTTGTTGAGTAAATTCTGCGATTCTCTTATGTTTCTCCGGTCATAAATCGGTCTATTGATAGAGAGCATGTCTGGGGTTGTATTCTGTGGTAGAGAAGATAGATAAGAGACAAAACCATCATAAGATTCATATTTTAAAACCTTATAAACCCCATCCTTGTCTAATTGTACAACATCCTCCTGTACTACCGTTGTATTGCAGAATCTGTTCAATATGGTGTTAAGAGTTAAGGAATCCACAATATCTTCAATCCCGCTCCCTACAATACAGTTGCAGAGGAAGCTTGAGATAGATTTCAATGAAAATGAATGATTAGATGTTAGGTAGGTCTGAAGGTACTCCAGAGACAGAAGTTTATCCCGAGTAGGGAAAACATAATGTTGGTTCCAACCCACAGTTTTAAACCGAGTTTTCTCATTTATCATCGAGTGAAAGAATGTAACAGAAAGAGACATTCTTTTCATCTTTTCCGACATTTTTTCATATTCTTTCTGATGATCTATATCCGAGGGGAATGATTTTAGAACACTGCTTTTTAGGTTAGTTTGCTCTTCCAGCGAAACCTTGATACAATTCTGTAAAATGGGAATCGGAAACCCTTTGCTGTTCTTAGTTGTCAACCAAAGTCTAAAATCAGGACTGCCAGAATCTTCATCCAGTCCCTCGCACATAAACTCTAATTTAGATAACCATCCGGGAACCATGTGACAATTCTGTAGGATAACCCAGTTACCAGCATATATTCCTTCTTTAATCAGATCTTCAGCTTGCCTCTCCTTTCCTGATCCTAGGCATAGGAACTGCAAACGTTTCCCGACAATATTCAACCGTTCTGCCAGCCTATAGATCTCGGAGCAGGGATCTGCAGTATCTCCGAGGATAAGAACTATCGGAGTAACAGAGTTGGAGTCAAGGTAGGCTTTATGGAAATCAGGCAAAGGGAACTGGGTGTACACTCTTCCAATATTCAGTTCCACAAACTCATAGATTAGGCTTACCAGGTCTTTTGTATTGATACAGGTATTCAGCATTAGTTTTTCAAATATATCCAATTCAAGATTATGCGGTAGATCTTGGGAAAGAGATATTCCAGTTTCTGTATTAAACAAATCGTACCAGCTCTTTTCATCGCTAAGAATGGATTCAAGAACAGGCTCAAATGAATTCCTTTTATTTTTCAAGTTATTCAACCGTCCATGAATTCTTGTTTCAAAGTATTTAAGATCCGAATTCTCGAGAGAAACATTTTCTTCTGATATGCAGGACAGATAATCCTTCCAGTCCTTATCAGATATGTCTCCTTTATGCTTTAAGATACTGACACATAGTAGAAAGGAAAAAAGGGTTTTATCTTCGTTGAAGAGGCCTCTGGAGATTGCCTGATATAAAGACTGTGTCATATGATCCTTAATGCTTTCTAATCTTTCATCCATCTCTTCAGACTTATCTGCTAGATCTACAGAGTTACAGAACAGGTTTATAAACCAGTTTAAACTGTACTGGTACATATGACACACGTGGCTAAGGTCTGAAATAGCAAAGAAAAGAACTCCTACATAAGCCGCAACTTGGAGATAAGGTTCCCTGTTCTCGTCAATCTTATTTTTTGAGTCCAGAGCAATATTTTGCTTCTCTGAAATTTCATTCGCAAGAATCTTTGATGAACTAAGAATTTTGATTGCATTTTCATCTTCAAGAATATTTCCTTTTGAAGTGTAGAGAACATCAAGAATCTTGTTTTCAATATCTCTCAACTGTTTTCTGTTGTCATTTGCCTGAACTATAAGCTGAGCTCGTTCCTCTTCAAGTTCAGGTCTCTCTCTTGTAACCGTGATAGTGAGCAACTGTTCATCTAATCCTAATCTTGTAATGCTAAAGTTTATTAAAGCAACTTTAGAAACTGTATCTCGGTCTAGTTTAGGTTTCTTTAGTTTTGTTGTGATGTACAATTTAAAATCTTTGTGGTATTCTAAAGTTGAGTCTCCAAGCTTAAGACAAACCGACCCGCCTTGCTTAAAGGTTTGCTTTGTAAGAAGAGGTTCAAGGATTGGATCTAAACTCTCTCCAACATTCTCCAGAAGCGCTGGCTGTCCGAACTGAATACTGCTTTCTAGATTTCGGAGGAACTCCGAATCAGATTGTTTAAGTACCTGGAGATTATTATTCTTCTCAACAGCCTGGATCCACTTCTTACCGATCTCCTGGGGATCAAGCATGAGAACCCAGCGCTTTGATGTGAATGCAATAATACCGTTGTCTGTTGAGAACTGATCCGAAGGTAGACCTGATAGCTGCCAGGATTGTCTTGTTATCTCATCTCCTAGAACATTATACAGGGAGAAATCTGCGGAGAAGGGAACTTTAAACTCTTGACACTTCTCCATCCAATCCTTGAGAATATATTCTCTAGATCCTTGCTCTTCTACTCCAAGATATGCAATCAGTGCAGAGGAAAGCAAAATATCTCCTGTTAGTTTCACATATTTATTTCCAAGATTTCCAACAATCTCTGCCCATTTATCCCTTTCACCTCCCAGCCCTCCGATAAGTTGCTCTGCTCTCTCTAATTTTCTACTGCAGGTTTCAACTTCATTTTCCAGCTCAGCTTTCTTGGTTTTCTTAGTAGCAAGTTCAGACTGAATTATTTTCAGCTTCTCATTTGCTTCATCAAAAACAGCTTGTTTCTCCTTTAAACTACGGGTAGATTCCTCAAGCTCCAGGTTCAGCTTTACTACAGCTTCTCTCTTTGGTGCAACCACCTTAGCAGCCTTATCATAGCTTTCAATAAAAGTCAACCACTTATACAAGGATTTGATAACTTCTTCACCTAGACCTATACTTTGCTTGGATTCATCAGGATCTATCTCTGAATTTGATAAATACTTCTCTCTGATCAGCTTCATTGTTTTGGGATTTATATCATCTTTCTCAAATAAAGTAATATCAGCCACAAACTTTGGTTCGCCAAGTAAACGTTTTGAAGGACCCCAGTAATCATCAATCATTTTTCCTCCCGATCCTCCATCGGGAAGTTTGTCTGGTTTTACTCCAGTAAGGATGCAGAATGCTTCCATAACAAGTCTGATTGACGGAGTAGGTTGCTTCATGCTCCTGAGAGCAGCAAACTCCTGCTGAGACAACGAGCTGAGCTCCTCTAGTGCAATCTCAACCCCTCGGGCCACCTCCTGGAGGTCGTCTTCACATTCTTGAATAATAGTTTTCACCTGCTTTGTCTTTTCCGATACCAATGAGTCTACGTTCTTTACAATCTTCTCCAGTTCAGAAACCTCGTTCTGATCTTTTTCCACAAGCGCAACACATTTATCCACCTCCTTCGATGCAGCAGTAAGATGAGGTTGAATATCCTCTAGTTCTTCTTGCATTACACCAACCTGTCCAGCTGCATCCTTTAGCTTATCCAACCCTGTTGTAAATCTTTGCTTGATATTGTTAACCTCGTCCCTTTTCCTGGTCAGAAGGGTTTTAAAAAGACTGTTCAGCTCAAGGAATGAGGCTGGAGTGACACAGTTGTAAGAAATATCATTTCTATAAAGTTCATCTGCTCTCTCTGTAGCGTAGGTATGGAAATATTTAGAAACCTTGATACATCCTTGCAGTTCCTCATCCGTAAACTCAATATCTTTCAAGAACGTTTCAGAGATAAAGTAAAGAGCATCTGATGGCCAGTGTGTAAACCAGTTGACCGTACAGCAGTTTAAGATACAGGGATAGTCTCTTAGTGTCTTCTTGTAATCCTGGGTTGTTGTGTTCATCGCAAAAACAATATGTAATCTCTCTTTAACCAATCTAAAATTAAATTTTAATTGATTTATATTTTTCCGTCAAATAAAGGAATCTTTGCCACAAACTCAAATGTTCTAATCCGCATATCTTTGAAACCTGATGGTTTAACCTTTGATAAAACAGAATTCATACTTTAAAATATCTAAGGTCAACGACATTGGGTTACAAAGATATAGGGATGAGAAAGTTTCGCTTTTCATAGATATTATTTATGGAACTTTTATTGCATATTTGAACCCAAAAGCATTCACATATTTGTTTTTAATGACTCTCAGAAGTTAATTGGTTGCTAAACTGCATACATGAATTTAAAAAAATCTAAAAATATCATTAATATCTGTTATTTAAACTTATGAACTAATCTGCTAAAAATAAAAATGGCCATTTACCTAATAAAAAGATTAAAAAGCTCTAGTGCTCCTCCCTCTGTATGAAGAGATTTATCCAACTGAGGTTCAAGATTTTTCATATTCTCAAGAATTTCGTTTTTTTCTTCCACGTTAAAAATATTTGGAACCTCTCCAAGGTTTAAGATGTTATTAATATCTTCTAAAGATCTTGGATCCTTGAGCTGACTGCTATAAAGGAAGAGAACACCAGGATTGATTTCCAAAGAAAATTTTCTTAAAACTGCTTTTATGTCAGTTCTCCAGTCTTTAAAGCTGTACGTGTTGGTCATTTCTATCATATGAAAACTGTAGTTTGATATATGAGCAGCTAATCTTGTCAGGCTCTGTCTCCCTGAACCCCCTATTCCGATAAGAAGGGAACTGCTCTGGGGTTGTTTGAGAACTCTGTTTATTTTACATAAGTGCTCAAGAGCAAAATTGAATAAAACCAAATCTAACGGTTTCCTACTTGTCTTGTTATACTCGATAAGCTGTGAACTGACAGAATCCCGAAGAACCTTCATATCAGTATTCTCTCTATAAAACTTGTCGTCAACTGTAGGATCAAGGAAGTCACAGAATAGGAAGGATCTCATTCTATCCTCAGTCACTTCATTTTCCTCCACTAAAGTTGGAAACAGATCTTTCAATTCCTCTTTCATGCACTTCTGGGTAACTTGAAGAATCTGTTGAAACAGATTAGTCTTATCGTTGTTAATAACTAACCTATCATAATATACTCTCATTGTTTCATGAACCCAGAGTCTTTTCATTGCCTGTAGGTCTTCCATACTCTCTGGGGTTGAGAGAAGAACTCCAAGGATTACTCGTGAAAAATCTCTCAGGTTGAATATATAATGTGTTTTATCTGGTGTTGGAACTAGAGTTGACGTGGCAAACTTATGTATTTCTAGTGTTGAGCTGACAACCTGTTCAATACACGGATCAAACTCTTTGCGAAATCCTTTGGTGTCAAGGTGCCAGAGAACCAATCTTGAAAATATAGCGGAGATTGTACTATCCTGGAAGTGATCTATGTATATAGAGTTGAAGTGTCTTCTAAACCTTGGAGACATCTCGTTCTGTTTATCGCTTGGAGGTTTAAGAGCTCCAATAACCACAGCATCAACAATCATCATGTTAAATAGTTCCTTCCCGTCATACCAAATACCGTGGTCTAGCATCTGCCGGAGAAGTTCTATAGGGCCCTGAATATAAAACTATATAAGCATAATCTAAACAATTTTTAAATAATATTGTTCAATTCAAAAGTGCAGAAAAGGAATGGAGTCCTTGCCACATACTCTGATTTTCTGATTCCTGTATCTATGTAACCCAATGTCGTAGACCTTAGTTATTTCAAACTATGGGTTCTGTTAGATCAAATAATCTAAGTTTGAATTATCAAAACGTTACACCATCAGGTCGAAAGATTAAGGGAACATAAAATCTTTGTTTGATGATAAAGACTTGTTTAGAACAAATCTTTAAGAAATATTTTAATTAAACCTGAGATTTAACTTCATCTTTCTCCGGAAGGTTGATGTCGTCAACAAATATAACAAACTTCTTCCCTAAAGGTGGACCATATACCCCTTTCCTTCGTTTATCTAGCTTACTCATTATTACATCCTGGGTTGTGACAGGGCTGGTTATCTTAGTAAAGAAAAGTGAAGCGCAGGCAAACTTCTCTTTGTCTAGTTTGGTATTGATCAGATCCTGAATATAAACTGTTTTACCGGTTCCTGATGGACCACTCAGTAGGAACGGTTTGTTGTTTTGTAGAAATAGTTCCATAATATGCTGGTATCTGACGGATTCTAGAGTTGGTATTATCATGTTCCCTGCATATATATCTCTAGGAAGGGAGACTGACGTATCTAGGGTATCCTCCCACCTACTCCACTCTGCCTTGTTATGTATGACAAGTTGATAGGAGAATACATTTCCATTGTTAGGAACAGGAAGAGAGTAGGCTTGTTTCAATACAGGAATCTTTTCAGTTACTCCAGTCTCGGAGAGCATCTCAGCAGTAACTGTTCCATCCTGGAGCTGGTAGAAGAATCTACTGAACCTGTCCCCGAGCTCCCTATCACAGATCCCACCCAGAGACCAGATACAGGAATAAAAGAATATTCCTTCTAGAACAGGTTTCATCTCATGCTCTGACTTTCCCTTGGACCAGGTGTCATTAAATATTTGTAAATGACAATCAAAAATGTTTATAAATCCCTTGAATATATTCTTATCTGTTGTTGCAACCCTGCTCCGGGTAAAGTTGTTAAGGAGTTGGAGAAGGGGTGGGAAGAATCTGTAAAACATCTCATCAACATGCTCTCTAGAGTAAAAACACATTTATGCTAAGAAACTAAGATTTGTTATATTTTTACCAAAATCATTGTAACTTACTAAAATAAATGAAGAGCCAACGTGAAACGCATCCAAGTTGAATTTATTTTTCTTACATAGATCATGCGCATTCTTACTTCATCTTAAATGTTATCTTTATTTATAATCAGTAATTAATAATTTGAAATTTAATCTGCTTTTCTGAACCAATTAAAAAAAAAATTCGTGCATTCAAAAGAGATAAATATATTGATAATTCAATATTTCTATATCTTAACTTCATTTTTACCTCAGACATTTGTTGATTGTATCTGGAAGGGTTCGTAACCAAACTTTGAGAAGCATTTTCCATGTGAGTTTAGTATCATCCAGGTATAGAATCCCACACCTGGAGATTGTTGCTGGAGAAGCCCGGGATACGTCCTGACTCTCGAAGAGAAGGTTTGTATTCCCTGGCATTTTAATTATTTCTCCTGACATGAGACAAAGCTTTTTATTTTCGTCTAGAACAGTGTTTAGGTTCTCTATCCACTGTGAGTCTACGGGACCGTCAAATATCAACCATTTCCGTTCTAGATATATGTAGATTGTATAAACACGAAATTGTTACCATAATACTACATACTACATCCATAGATGATAACAGTCTACCCTAATTGTACTACATAGTATATCCATAGTTGATTACAGCCTACCCTAATCTTAACAATCATACTGCATAGTATGTCCATAGTTGATTACAGTCTACCCTAATCTTAACAATTGTACTACAAAGTATATCCATAGTTGATTACAGTCTACCCTAATCTTAACAATTGTACTACATAGTATATCCATAGTTGATTACAGTCTACCCTAATCTTAACAATTGTACTGCATAGTATATCCATAGTTGATTACAGTCTACCCTAATCTTAACAATTGTACTGCATAGTACAACCATAGTTGATTACAGTCTACCCTAATCTTAACAATTGAACTGCATAGTACAACCATAGTTGATTACAGTCTACCCTAATCTTAACAATTGTACTACATAGTATATCCATAGTTGATTACAGTCTACCCAAATCTTAACAATTGTACTGCATAGTACATCCATTGTTGATTACAGTCTACCCTAATCTTAACAATTGTACTGCATAGTATATCCATAGTTGATTACAGTCTACCCTAATCTTAACAGTTACTTACAGTACCCTAAACTAAACCCAAAGAGAATAGAATATATATTAGAGAGGAATTTACTAGAAAAAAGTGTAAAACGGCCATTTGTTGTACTGTTTCCATACTGCAGGTGTACTTCACATATTTGCGCTATATAACCTTTTGGGCCCTAGAACATTATTTCACATATAGACTCTATGCCTTTCACTTTACAAACGATGATTTACCGTTATAACTATAAATCAAATGATGTTTTTTATTCGCCTAATTAATTTTATAAAGTTTATTTAATAGATTTAAAAAATTCGAAATTGAAATGGATATTCTAACATACTGTATTAATCTACTCTACTGCATATAATTTGTGAACATTTACATGATTTGTACACTTTGAACTCCCTTTCAGGCTGAAAGGGACTGAAAAAATTCATACCGAGGGATTGTCTAAATTCCACTCTAATATATATTCTATTCTCTTTGTCTAAACCCCTGTACTACATAGTAAGTTCAATACTGCAGTAGAATATTCTACTGCACCAAATAAACCGGAATTTCCAAAAAGTTTGTTTGAATCAAAAAATTAAATTAAATTAAAATTAAATTAAAACATCTATATATATAAAGGTGTAATCTCTGTTTGTCTTACTGTCTGTCTGTCTGTTTGTTTGTCCGATCATAACTCAGGAACCCCTGGACCTAATTGCCTAAAATTTTTATTGGGGAACTCGGGACATCCACGGGACTGTTCTTAGCTAGGTTTTGAGATTCTAAGTGGAGTGGGTCGACTTTGTCAGCGAAAATTTAGTTTCCTAGTAAAATCGTTCAAGTGCGGGTAAACGGCGGAAGTAACTTTTAGTGACCTGGGCAGCGCTGGGTGCCCAAGCTAGTTTAATATCAATATTAATCCTAAATGATGTCATGTTCGACTTTTATTATGTTTAGCTTTTAACTTGGCCGGGTATTATTATCATTATCATTATTATTATTATCAATATTAACCCCTTATAAAAAACTTTAGCTAATTATTATTCACGATAGTATTGGTAACTTTCTGAGAAAAAAAAAACATAATATGATTCCGAAAAAAGTTAGGTAAAAAAATCTAATGAATCTTTGTACAAACTCTGATTTTCTAATTCCTATATCTTTGCAACCCCATGCAATGTTGTAGACCTTTAATATCTCAAACTATGAATTCTATTAGATAAAAAAATCCAAAGTTATGAATATCAAAGTTTTTTCCCATCGGATTGAAAAGATATAGAGGTTAGAAAATTTGAATTTATGGCGAAGACTTAATTCCTTACTTGAAAATTTTTCAACCAAAATAGTTAAATGGTCAGTACGAATTTCAAATTTTCTCTTTGAAAATAAAAATAAGAATTTTTTACAAGAAAAATTGTAAACAAATAAACTATTCTAAGAATAGAATTTTAAAAATCCATGTTGTGTTTCAACATAACTAACCTGTAGAGTTCATATTTGAGAATGTTCTAAGAGATGTTGCTAGAATCCCATCTTTCCATTCATGAAACTCATCAAAATATCCAAACAATTGATTTATTGTCATGGATTTAGGATTCACGACAACAGTGTTGACAAACCTCTCCTCCTTGCTAGATTCCTCATCCATCCGTCCCAAGGTTTTAGCTAGCACCTTGGACAAACATGTTTTCCCAGAGAATGCTTGTCCAACAATCATTATTCCATCATATAAACTTTAATTAGCAACACATTTATTAAACGTTATTGTATTGTATTGTATTGTATTGTACTGTATTGTATTGTATTGTATTGTATTGTATTGAATTGTATTGTATTGTACTGTATTGTATTGTATTGTATTGTACTGTATTGTATTGTATTGTATTGTATTGTATTGAATTGTATTGTATTGTATAGTATTTCATTGTATTGTATTGTATTGAATTATATTGTACTAGAAATTCAAGGCGCTTCGAGCCCTTCTTTCTAGGCTTTTTAAATTTTTTTTACAAAATTAAAAACCTTTAAAACACATTTTTTTTAAATTTTTATTATTCATAAACCTTCCCTGTGGTCACGTGATGTCCCACAAAAAAATTGGGCTCGATCGGTTTAGCCGTTTTGACGCTTATTGGATACAAAAAAAACAGACAGACAAACAAACAGACAGACTAGACAAATTTATATATAGATTGTATTGCACTGAATTGTATTATGTTGAATTTTATTGTATTTACTTGAATCTTAACTACTAAATTGTGTTGATTTCCTAATCATCTGATAGAGCTGCTGAACCTTCTCCTGGAAATAGGAGTGTGAGTCTAAGAACATTTTCTCGCAAACCTTCTCCGTTGTTTTCTTTATCTTATCAAATATCGTCGTGTTAAGATCTACATTAGGGAATATATCCTGAGATATTCTTAAGAATAACTTCTGATCGTCTGGCAGGAGTTCAGAGAACTTGAGCCGATGAATTGCAGTAAATATTGAGTTAATCTCCTGAGCTTCAACCTCAGATTCATCCATGATCTCAGGTTTTAATGTTTCAGCCAGTTCTAACACAGCTTTAATGGATCTCAGGCCAAACTCATAGTGTGGCTGCTTTGACAGTGTGTCATGACAAAGCTGGAATATTGAAGTTAGTTTTCTTGAGCACACTGAGGGGTAGTTGAAACCACGGGCTGATAAGCAAACTTCAGCTATTTTTCTAGTATCTGGTTTCATCATTGCAATATTCCGGAATAGTGCCTTAAAATTATCTGGAATTTTTTCTTTCAATGAATTCTGTGATTTCATGGTTATGAAAATTGCACAAGTTGGGTTCAGGAGAATATCTGTGTCTCCCAGAAATATATTTGACATTCCTGACTGAATACCTCTTTGCAGAGTTAGGATATCATGGGAGACTATAGAGAGAACACTGCGTTTAATCCTGTGAAACTCATCAAAACAACTCCAAGCTCCTGAGCACGCTAATCCTTTAATAAACTTCCCAAGAGGTCTGTAATCTAAACCTTCAGAACAATTAAATACTATGCACTGCTTACCACAAGCCTTGGATATATCCTTCACTGTTTCACTCTTACCAGTTCCTGTCGGACCCTCAACACTTCCTCCTTTCACCTTGTGAATAGCCACGGAGAGAACCTGGTAACATTTCTCCGTGAGCTCTGACATGACCAACCTGTCATAACTTCCAAAGTATTCATATCCATACATAAACTCTGCCAGAACTATCCGGACCATTAGGTTCTCTTCCTCCCAGTAGTAACGGAAATGAGATTTCCAAAAGAAGTCGAGAGTACTATTTATTCCATCCTGGATTAATTTCCCAACCTGGGTCTCCAGGTAGGTTGTAGATATGACAAGGTTTGCAATAACTTTAGCTTTCTCTTTGCTTCTCTTTGACTTGGATAAAGCAATAGCATTTTCTTTCTCTTGTCTGATCTTAATTCTTAAATCCTCCAGTGCTGATGTCCCTTCTGATATAGCCTGGTAATAAAGGATAAAAATCAAGACTTATTATGATTAATCTTAAATAGAAATTGTCACCTTTTCTATTTGAGCAGTCCATAGAGTTTGAAGTCCACAAGTTACTATTTGACTCGGTAAATCTTCTATCCAAACATCTAGCTCCTTATCTATATAGTTAGTGAAAGCAGACTTAAATTCTTTCTGTAAACTCTCCTTCATCTGTTTATCCAAGTCTGCTAGCCAGCGGTCAACTTGCCCTCTAGCCTTGGCTGTAGATACATTTTTGGACAGGTTAATAACTTCTCCGACCATAGACTTAAATTTAGATATCTCAAGGTCTTCATTGAACTCAAGAGAATCAATTCCTTCAAATATCTTATTCAAGTATCTTGCAACCCTGGAGGGATCTTTAGTCTCAGAAAGGATTTCAAGTAACTGAGCGTTCGAGACGAAAAAGAACCTTGGGAAAAATAACCGTTTTTTCTCCAGGTAATCATACAATCCCTTGTTTATTAAATCTAAAAGTTCGCTTGATTTCTTCAGTTTCTCAAGTATTCTATCTATATCCAATATTGCTAAAACATGTTTATCGATTATTGCTGCTTTCATGATATCCCTCCAGTTTTTGTCAACTGTAGTAAACCGTCTTCCCTCCTCAGGCATTTGAGACATGATATCTGGGGAACTAAAGATAGGCTCGAAATACAACCAGGTTCCCTGGACCTTCAACCATTCATCCATAATCTCCTGAAGCATGAGTAGTTGCTCTTCCCACTTGGCAATTTGTTCCTCGAAAGGTTTGATGTAAGGAGAACCTCGCATAGTCTGTGTTTTAACAATATGATCATCAAGCAAGGATTGGATATCGTCCGTAGCTGAGAGAGTATAGGTTCCTGTCTCTCCATAGGAGGTTATATTGAATTCTTTATCCGACCATTCTTCAACCATATGTTGCATGGACTTCTCCAGGTTGTGTTCCTTAGTAGCAGTTTCACTGATTTTCTCGAACTTTTTAACATACTCATCCAGACCCATGTCAAGGATTTTATAAAGATTTGTCTCCGAACCTCCTTTGACAGGAAACCCAACTGTATTTGAAACCAACTCCCAATGCCTTTCTCGCAAGGATGGATTTCCCAGAGTTTTAATGATCGGCATTTTGTCTTTAAAATCTTCAATCTTGCTCCTAACATCAACCACCAAGGTTTTCGCGGCAGGAATCTCGCTAAAATCTTTTTCTAATTTTGTGACAGTTTTGAGAGAATCCTCAACTTGTTTCTCTATATCAGCAGGATGATGGGTTCCCATGGGACTCTCAAACCAAATCTTTTGTTTATCCATAAAATCCATTGATATTTCATACAGTCGAACAAACGGAGCAAGTTTATCCTGTGTATCTTTCAAGGTTGGATAACTTGTGAGTTCCCACTCAAATGCTTTCTCTTCCATATTGAAATGTTTTATCTTTTCCTCTGCAACCTCAAGCTTGGTTTTTAAACTTTCTGCCTTTTTCAAATATTTTGGCAAGTCATCAACATTGCCATATGTGAAGAATTCTTCCACCTGGTTGCTGTAGCTCTCAAGCTCCTCCTGAAATCTCTCCCTCTTCAACTTTAAAGCTTTTTGATACTCACTCGTCTTTCCGTCCATAATCGTCTTGTGTTCGTCAAAAATAGACGGCATTTTAGCGTGCCATTGGAAGGTTTTAGTATTAAGTTTCATTTCCGTCGTAGTAAACTGGCAAAAATCAGAAAGAAAAACTATTCTTCGCGCAGCTTTATTCAGTTCATTCTCCATCTCCTTCATGACAACTGTTTCAATCTCTACAACTTTATCCCTGAGTTCCACAAGCTCTGAAGTACTGTTAGGACTAGTAAGTGCCACAGAAGATATATCCTTATACCTGTCACAAAGCTTGTTATTTATTGCTTGATGATCCAGAGACATCTTTTGCAACACTCGTTCCCTTAACCCATCGGTTTTTCTATATAGGTTTAATATCAGATCATCACAATGTAACTCATACATGCCCAACTCTACTACCTTACTTATATCATTGTTGATGGTTTTACCAAGAGTGTCAAAGTAAATTACCTTTTCTTTGAACTCATCAAAAGTATGTTCTTCCGAAACATAAGCATCCGTTTCTTTCTCAGAGATTCCATTGATAAGGTGCATATACTCTTCAAACTTCTTTACGTACTCCTCAGGCAAAAGGTTCTGCTCCGTGACCATCTTGTTCACTTCCTCCCTAGCAGTGTCTATTATCTCTGGTAGAAGAATAGGTTTCATGTTCTTCTTCTTGCCTGTTCCTTCATCATCTATCAGAGCTGAATCCAACCGTGGAATATCATAAACCGCATTTTTCATCATTGTGTATACTTCTGTAATACTGGCCTCAATATCTGAAAAGGTTGGGGTGAAACTGATCCGGTTCCCATTAACCTTGAGATGCAGAATAAATCCAGGTTTGTGTGAACCTTGTGATTCTCGGTGAAGAATATCGACATACTCCCTGAAATCTCGGATACTGGCGAGAGCCAGCTCCTGCAGATGAGCTGTCATCAGGTTCCCCAGACAGTTCAAGAAGGCAGGGATACGCGAGTCAGGAGGAAGAATCTTTTTTCTTTTATTCTTCTGACATTGTTTGTAGACTTCAATAATTGCAGGGCACCATTCCTCTTTTAATACTTTCTTGCTTCTTTCTATTTCTTGATAAATAATATCTTGGAATGGTAACATTTCCATTTTTGGTTTTGATTTTAATTTTGAAATATCAATTAGTCGGAGATTGACGAAATTTGATTCCCAGAGAGCTTGTGCCTGGAGCATGCAGAGATTGATTAGATGAAGGTTGTGAGAAAGATATCTCTTGGACTGTCGATACAGTTTCTTCCAGGCTTCAGATACGCCTGCCAACTCAATAGTCATCGGAGTCTCATCATCTTCATCAAGAAAACGTTCGTCTTCATCTATTTCTGGTTCCTTGAGAACAAAGTCCACAACTGATTTCTTCACAGCAAACGCATAATCTTCTTTGATCTCTTCGTTTATTTTCTTTATTTCCCGCTGATTCTTTTGCATCTTTTTAGGAACAAGGTTCATGATTCTATGAAACCACTCCTGACTCATTCCTGAAACACAAAGTACAAAATATTGTTTGAACAAACTTGACAAGATTGGGAAGAGAAGTATAGCCTGGTGAAGGGGGCTTCCCTCCTCCCCCCCCCATCAATAAAAATTCTATATTGTCAAGAAATGTTTGTAAAATGCATGTTCAATTTTCAAATTCCTTGTTAGCATTTATGATTTTGTAAATGTTGACCCATAGTTTAATCTCTCAGATAACTATTGTTAATTTTCCAAACCACCCTTCTCACAGTTCTTTAATCTATCAAGCTTTTAGACAGAAAAAATCGAGATTAGCGTGAACCAAAATCTTTCAAGAAAAAAAAGAAGAGGGATGTAACAAAAAAATGGAGGGAGCATCTTCTTTAGGATCAAATTTTAAGTATGTAAAGTTTCCTAATGAATATTTAAAAGCTACACGAATTTTTGAATTTTTATTTCAAAAATTTTATTTCGAAAAAATAAATTGAAAATTACTTTGAAGTCAATACCTGCAACATATTTAGTAGCGATCCCATTGTGTATATAATAATAATATCGGAGTAGATCTTTTTCTTTACAGGTTAGCGGAGCCGCGCAGTTTGCTGGCTCTTCATCCTCATCCTCGTCTCCTGATCTAGATTCAATACTATTATAGAACCTTGTTCTTTCAAAGGTTTCGACTAAACTAAAGAGTTTATTAAAAATACATATTTTTCATAAAAAAAGCTTGCGATTCAACCCCATCTAAACATGAATTCAATCAATCAAAATTTTAATCAATCTATATTATAAAATTTTTCACTCGTATAAATATATTTATATATATGTTAGCTATAGCTGGCAAAACTGCTGGACCAAATTAGCTGAAATTTTCAGAAACCCTTGGATACCCTAGGGGTAACATAAGCTCAAAAATCGACATTTTATTTTCAAAATTTGATTTTTTTGCCAAAATTTTTTTTAAAAACTTTCACGGGTAACGCCGGGCACTTTAGCTAGTCTTTCATTCCCCTACGTGATAATGTCATCAATACTAAACTTTTATCGAGATAAAACTTTTGCTAATGTGAGATCTAACTTTAATCAGAATTAGACTGTAATCCAACCGTGTCTTTATCAAACCTTTTTCAATTAAAGCCTTCATTAAGATCAAGCATTCAATAAAATCAAGCCTTCATTAAGATCAAGCTTTCAACAAGATAAAACCGTTCATGCATCAAGATCAAACCGTTATCAAGATCAAACCGTTCATCAAGATCAAACCGTCATCAAGATCAAACCGTTCATCAAGATCAAACCGTCATCAAGATCAAACCGTTCATCAAGATCAAACCGTCATCAAGATCAAACCGTCATCAAGATCTAGCCTTCATCAAGATCAAACCGTCATCAAGATCTAGCCTTCATCAAGATCAAACCGCCATCAAGATCTAGCCTTCATCAAGATCAAACCGCCATCAAGATCTAGCCTTCATCAAGATCAAACCTCCACTAAGATCAAACATTCATCAATTCCGACCTTCATTAAGATCAAGCCATCAGAAAGATCAAGCCATCGCGTGGGCAAGATCTACCCTTTATCAAGATAAAACCTTCATTAAGATCAAATCTTCGTTAAAATCAACATTCATTAATTCAGACCTTCATTAAGGAAAAGCCATCCTCAAGATCAAAGCTTCATTAAGATCAAGCCTTCATTAAGATCAAGCCTTCATCAAGATCAAATATTTGTGAAGATCAAACCTTCATTAGTTTAAATCTTCATCAAGATTAACCCTTCATTAAGATCAAACCTTCATTAAGATAAAACCTTCATCAAAATCAAGCCTTCATCAAGTTAAGACCTTCATCAAGATTCAACCAATCCAATCAATAGCAAACTTTAATCAAGATTAACCCTTTACCAAAATCAAACCTTCATGAAAATAAAATCAACCCTTCAATAATTCAAACCATCATCAAGATCCGACCTTATCCAATATTAAACATTCATCAAAATCAAATATTCTTTAAGGTCAAACCTTCACAAATAACAAACCTTTTTCATGATCGATAGATTATCAAGTTAAAAACTTCATTAGGTTGAACCTAATAAATCCAGTATTTCTTATTTGTCATGCATTTGATTATGTCGAGTTTAAAACAAAAAGATTTTCTTTATCACCTGTGCATGATAAGCTCCACCAATTTCTTCCTGAACTTCTCCCTATCCTTCCTCGCCTCGGCATAGCTCTTAAATGGTTTGGGTTTTTGACTCGTTTTCCCTGTGCTCTTTTTCCTATAGGTTAAATCCGGGTTTTTCAAAAATATTTTTTAATAAATTAATCAGATATATAGATTTCTATCAATACGACAAAAACAAATTTCACGTGTTTTAATCCCAATCCTGTGATATTTTTCACACATTCCGATCCTCCAGGGTTTCTTCCGGTTCTTCTCCACCTCCGGAGGTCCGCGAGGTTTATACTCCAGTCCAGGACAAATATCCTCCAATATTATTCTTGAATCATATTTGTCGTATTCCTTCATCAGCTGACACTGTATCTTCGGCATACTAAATCCTAGATTCTAAACAAATCCGTCTGAGGAATTATTATTTTGTTTTCTAATTAATGAACGATGTAAAAAGTTCTAAACCTAAACAATTTATTCATTTCATCAATCTGACCTCGGACGGATATAGTTCCTTTAGTTCTGAATCTGCAAACCTCTTCTTGGTTTCAGTGTGGAAGGTTTGCAACAAATCTTTCTCATACTGCGGCGGTTCCTTAGGTTTTACATTTCCGTCCCGTCTAATTGCCTTCCGCCTCTTATCATCCCTATCACAATCAATATAATTTCAAATTTTTTCAAATGAGTTGTTAAGTTGTTAAGTTTATTGTGTATTCACTAAGAAGGTCCTATAAAATGTACATTTTTAACCGTGTTTTTATCCATAACTATTTTCATTAATTTATATGATGCTAAAAAAGTATTAAAAATATTTTAAATAAGGCAATGAAATTTAATCTTTGCCACAAACTAAAATTTTATAATTCATACATCTTTGCAACCTAATTGTGTAAACCTTTAATATTTTAAACTGAGATTATTTGATCTAGAGAGTTTTAAACTTAAGGGGTCTATAAGCATTGGGTTAAGATCAGAAAATCAAAAATATTTCAGTTGGTACCTGTAGAGTGTATGATTTCTAGCGGTATCCATTCTTGGATCATCTCCAATGATTCGATCCAGTCTACTGAATCCGGGTCGATCCATTTTTAGACTAACTTAATTTTCACAGCTCATCCAGAATTCGGATATGCTGTTGAAGTTAAAAATAATGATTTTTTTGAACCAATGAGCCATGTATTCTGTAGAATAGATAAAATTTAAAAAGAATCCAGATACTTTGATTTCTATAAAATCAAGGAAGTATATATATCTTTGAATGGATGGAAACTGCAATTAGCGAAAGCATTAATAAATATGAACTTTTGAAGACTCTAGGAACCTGGATAAAATGATTGCAATTAGAATTGTTTAGAATCCAGAACTGAGAACTTATAAACTTAGAGAATGAGATAAGATAATTTGTTTCTCCCACAAAAAAGAATTCTTTAATCTATATTTAATTCTGTAAATCTAAAAGTGAAAAAACATTGTACAAAATTCCGAATCAAATCAGTTATTCCTTTAAATTGTTTAGTTTAAAATGTAAAAAATGAAATGTCTTGATATATATTTTGTAATTTTCCCAACGGGTTTCCTTGAACCTCCAGGTAGGATACTGGAACAAACAGTCCGGTTTCCATGGATACCAACTGCATTACATGTTTAGACGTATGGAAAACAGCCAAGGGAATATTTCAGGGGGGGGGGGGCTGAAGTTAATTCTTGTAAGTATTTTTGATAAAAACCTTTAAATCAATAGTTCTGAAAAAAAAAATCAAAAATGTGATATGTTCCGATTGCAACGTATTAAAATCTAAACTGTGCAAACATCTAGACTAAAGATATGATTTTAAAATAGTCCAATGAACACGAGGCACACAACTGCGCAGTGTAAACAGACCCATTTCACTTAATAAGGGATTTCATAACTTACTATAGTAAAGCTTTGCTTTACATCAAATGCACTTCCATATTGCTTTAATGTCGTCTTCCTATTCTCAAGTTTTCTGGTTATCACTGTATGTAAATCAAACTAAAGCTATATAGAAATAGCTGAAGGGCCCGGCGTTGCCCGTGGGAAAAAAATGTTGAAAAAAATGAATAAATAAAAAATCGAATTTTTTAGAAAATAAAATTTCATTTTTTTACCCTATGTCTCCCCGGGCTACCCAAGAGTGTCCACAAAAAAAATGTCCGCCCATTCGGTCCAGCCGTTTGGTCGGCCAGAGGGAACATATATACGAATGTCTTGTTTTATTATATTGATAAATTGCAGAACCATAGAAGGTAAAAGAATTAGATATTTGAAACAAGTATTTTTGTGCAAACATCGTCACGTGTGTTACATTCATTTGATTTAAATCTTTTAATAGAAACAAAAAATCAAATATTTGAAATATGGTTTTACATTTTACACAAATCTAGCGAATCTAGCTCACTCTCGAAACAAATAAAATTTGCTGCAGTTCGAAAATCCGCGAATTTATTCACCGAAAATTCGCAATCATCACATCCACCGTGGAGGTTGCCATACAACATGTCCACAAAAAAAGAGTTCTCTGATCTCCACATTATTCCTCTTGAGGATCTGGAAAAACTACTGAAGACAAACACCAAAACCGGACTAAGTACTGCTGATGCCTTGGAAAAATTGAAAACCAACGGAAAAAACGTTCTGACGCCACCAAAGAAGACACCGGAATGGGTTAAGTTCATGAAAACTATGTTCACGGGATTTGCAGCCTTGCTCTGGATTGCAGGGATTCTATGCTTTATTGCCTATATCGTGGAGAGTAGTGAGAACCCGGATGATGTAAGCCCTGACAATTTATACATCGGATGTGCCTTGGTTGTTGTTGTTGCAATTTCAGGAATTTTCACTTACATGCAAGAAAGGCAATCTGGAAAGATCATGGAAAGTTTTAGTAAAATGGTTCCTCCGTTGGCCAATGTTCTTAGGGATGGCAAAGTAACAGCTATAGAAGCTTGTGACATTGTACTTGGAGATGTAGTGGAAATTCGTGGAGGGGATAAGGTTCCTGCTGACCTGAGAATTTTTGAATCTAATGCTGTGAAGGTAAAAAAAAATAATAAATTTTTTTAGAAGTTTTGGGGAAAAATACAGAGTTATGAAGAACAAAGGGAGGGGTCGTCATCAGAGGAACAACTTTTGCTTTGTTACCGCATATTCATGGCTATTTATTTATTTTCGCAAATACTGAGATTTAAGTAAAATAGTATAAAACCCATTGAAAAATTGTCCAGACGAATTTGATAAATTCTTTCGATGTTTGGCTTATTTAAGGTTTAACTGTACTTTGACCATATTGAAATCAGTAATCATTATTTAAAGACACTGACTGTAAGCATAATTTCAATCGACCCTTCATGAAAAAGGGGATTCACAATGGTACTCTTTGAGTCTTTGACTGATCATCGGGAGTAGAGAATGCATGTGTTTTTCTCTAAAATGGTGTTAGTGACCTCACCACAGCATTCGAACATTCCTATTTCTTTTACTTCTAGAAAGTAAATATTTTAATTCTTTAAATATGAAACAGCAACTTAAGTGTTCATGCGTTTCTGTAGATAAAAACTATCCTCTTGATCCGGCAAAGGTTTAAAGGGTGTTGTGAATCGAACTCAACAACTGGAGAGTAACTGGAAATTACGTCTAAAGTCTGTTCAAACTAAGATATATACACTCGACAATTTGATAATAACCTAAAACAATAAATTCGTTAAATTGACCAAATAAAGGGATATATTTGAGTACAGTGTGTCTCATTAAACATAATCGACATTTAAAGACAAACATATATGATACTGATATTCATGAAGTTCTTTAGTTGGAAATACCGAACTTATAACTGTTTTTCAAGAATATTTTATTTGAAAAAAGTCTGTTTTGAATTGCACGTATTTGCCTTTTATTTCAAACTTGAATTCTTTAAAAAAAGATTAGTTCAATAATGCGTCAAGATATTCTAAGTTAAAAAGTTCTGAATTTTCATTATCGCATATTTGAATCTGAAAAAATAATCAAAACATAATGGATTAAAAATAAAACAGCGAATATTTCAGGTTGATAACTCAAGTCTGACTGGAGAAAGTATTGCAGTTAGTCTGAAACCGGACCTTTCAGAAAAGAACCGTATGGAATCCAGAAATGTAGCCTTTTTCTCTACCAATGTAATGGAAGGTTCTGGTAAAGGAATTGTCATCGAAACTGGAGACAACACTGCTATAGGATCAATAGCGAAAATGGTGTCTGGTCTAGGCCAACGTAAAACCCCAATCAGCAGAGAGTTGGATAGTTTTATCAAGACTATTACAAGCATAGCTGTCATTTTAGGTGTTGTATTCTTTATAGTAGCAGTGTGTCTAGGTACAGAACTAATCAAAGCTGTTATATTTCTTATTGGTATAATAGTTGCCAATGTCCCTGAAGGTCTCCTAGTTACAGTAACTGTAACCCTAACACTCACTGCTAAGCGTATGGCTACAAAAAACTGTTTGGTCAAAAACTTGGAAGCTGTTGAGACACTTGGTTCCACCAGTGTGATATGTACTGATAAAACAGGAACCTTGACCCAGAATAAGATGACAGTGGCACATTTCTGGATTAGTAACAAAACAATAGCTTTAGGAATAATTCAGTGAAACCAATGAATATTTACAACTAATTAAAACTTCATTTATCTATTAAAAACATTCTAATGAAGCATGTTGGAACTGAATTCTTTGTTAGACACGGGAGAGAATAGTTACGGTACAAGCTTCAATAAACAGACTGATGGTTGGGCGGAGCTTTCACGAATTGCATGTCTTTGCTCTGCAGCAGAATTTCTTGAATCTGATCAAGAAAATCCACTTCTCCAAAAAATGAAGGGAGATGCTTCTGAGCAAGGAATTTTGAGGTGTTATGAGTCTATTATGAGTAACTCCTCTGCTGTTAGAGAAGCTAATCCAAAAGTTGTTGAGATTCCATTCAATTCCAGCAATAAATATCAGGTTTCAGTTCACGATGTGGATAGAAGTGGAAAATATCTTCTTGTTATGAAAGGAGCTCCAGAAATAATTTTCAAAAAATGTAAAACAATTCTGATTAACGGAGAAGATTTGGAAATAGATGAAAAGATTTCTAATGACTTCCAGAAAGCCTATATGGACCTAGGAGAGCAGGGAGAACGTGTTCTTGGGTTTTGTGATCTAACCCTGAACCCACAAGAATTTCCTTCCGGCTTCGAGTTTGACGTAGAAGATGAACCAAACTTTCCACTTTCTGATTTAAGGTAAACTTTTTAACCCGTTGAATTATCTACTTTTTGAACAAGAGAATAAATTATTGTTACACACTATTTAGTGATTTTATTTATGAAATCCACAATTTTTAAAATTCTTTTTTTATGCTGTACAAAGAGAAGATGCTCAAGATAAAGCTATAATTAAAAGTTGCAATAGAAGATGGGCTCAAAGCGCCCTAAATGGCTTTTAGTGAGTAAATATATCATTTTTGGTTTAGATTTGTTGGTTTGATGAGCATGATTGATCCTCCTAAGAGCAGTGTTCCTGATGCAGTGGCCAAATGTAGATCAGCAGGGATCAAGGTTATCATGGTTACAGGAGACCATCCTATTACTGCAGCAGCTATTGCTAGACAGGTTGGAATTATCTCTGAAGAATCCACTAACTTGATTTACACAGACAAAACAGATCCAAATGATGTTGTTGAGAAGAATGTTGCAGCAGTTGTTCCTGGAGGTGTGTTGCTAGATATGGAAGAGTCTACCCTTCTCTCATTGATTGAACACCATTGGGAGATTGTGTTTGCTAGAACCAGTCCAGAGCAGAAACTTAGAATAGTTTCAGCTTTCCAAACAACAGGAGCCATTGTTGCTGTAACTGGGGATGGAGTGAATGATTCCCCTGCATTGAAAAAAGGAGATATTGGCGTGGCAATGGGAATATCAGGTTCTGAAGTATCAAAGGAAGCAGCAGATATGATACTATTGGACGATAACTTTGCAACTATTGTGACTGGTGTAGAGGAAGGAAGATTGATATTCGATAATCTCAAGAAATCTATTGTGTACACACTTACAAGCAATATACCGGAGATTCTTCCATTCTTGTGCTGGGTCATATTTAGTATCCCCCTCCCTCTATCTACGGTTTGCATACTTCTTATTGATCTTGGTACAGATATGTTTCCAGCTATATCCTTAGCCTACGAGAAAGCAGAAAGTGATATAATGCAAAGAAAACCAAGAAATGCTAACACTGACAGATTGGTGAATGGACGACTAATATTCTTGGCATATGGTATTATCGGATTTATTCAAGCTGCAGCAGGATTATTTATCTATTTTGTCGTCATGGCAGAGCACGGTTGGTTACCGTCTCGCCTTCTTTATATTCGAGCTGAATGGGATAACCCTGATATCAATGGGCTTGCTGACAGTTTCGGACAGGAGTGGAGCTATGGACAAAGAAAAACTCTAGAAAGTACTTCTCAAACAGCATTCTTCCTTGCAATTGTTCAGGAATCCTTTTATATTCTAAAATATTTAAACAAGGCTTTTAAATATTTGTTCATTTTTCGAACTAAGTTCAACTGTATTTAAATAAGTATTAAAGGATATATTTACAGGTTCAATGGACTGATTTGATTATCAGTAAGACCAGGAAGGTTTCTATTTTGACACAAAAAATGAATAACTGGATTCTCAACTCTTCTATTGTGTTTGAAACAGTACTAGCTATAATCCTGATCTATACTCCTGTTGTACCTCAGTATGTTGGACTGTATCCTTTGAATCCAACATGGTGGATTCCTGCACTTCCTTTCAGTCTTTTTATTCTTATAATTGATGAAACAAGAAGATATATACTTAGATCACCTCCCAGCCCTTTACAGAGATTTATTACTAAAGAAACTTATTATTAAATATTCGACCTCTACAAGAATACTTATCTAATCTTTGTGTTTTATATATGATAATTTTTAATTGTAAGTTCTGAGATGTTTGCTCAATAAAATTAGTTTCTAGTTATTATTATNTGATTATCTATATATTTCTATATATCTATCTATATATATACTATACATAGTAACAATTATAATAATGTTTGATTAGAAAGGTACAAATTGTAAATGCTAGAAATGAATTCACGAAATTATTTGTCATTAAAGCATAATCCTTGCTTGGTCACATTGTAGTTCAATAGTAAGCTTTATATAATGTCGTAACCTTCTTCCCTCCTCCTCTTAATTCTCTTTCTATCTGTTTTGCAAACATGTGTTCATGTGCCAGGTATAATAAGCTGGAAAGCTTCTGCGATAAAAACACTTTTAGAAATATTTCCCACATTCTTTTCTCCTTGAGATAGTTTCAACTTAATCCTTCTCTGAAACAGATCATTTTCAGTTTATTCTTTTATACGTCGATTAAAAACGTTTTCTAAGAGGTACTGAGCAATTCAAGGGTTTTTGTGACCTTTAAAAAAATATTCATATAATGTTTTAATAAAAGTTTTAAGAAAATATGAGGAAGCACAACAAATATTGGAAAGGTATTTTCACGAGTAAATTCAAAAAAAAGATTTGAATGCTACTTTTCCAATGATGAATATTGAAGTAGTCTAGGATGAAAAGTGTCAAAAATGCCTTTATAATTGTCTTTAAGTATTTGAGCCCAAAACTTTTCTTTTTTGAGAAGGGCTGAGACTTTTTCTAACCAAAGTGTGCTTACGGTGGATATCGAGTTCAAACGATCAGAGCTAGGAACTTTTGAACGGTGGATATCGGAATTAATGCTTGATCCACTCTTTCTCTTAATCTCGAGATTAAATAATGCTTGTTCTCCACTTGTTATTAATCTCCAGATTAATTAACCGATCGGCCGATTAAGGATATCCCATTCTAAAGTTTTCAGCTCAGGATTATGAGTAACCCACAGAAAAGTTGTCAGCTCAGTTGGAGTGATATTTTACTTATAACTTTTAAAGAGAAAATTTCTGTCCAAAAACTTTATAGCACTGCTAACTCAAATTAATAGTATTATAAATTATCTTTTTATGCAACTGTCTTGTGTTATCATGTGAGACATTATGTTTTTTGTCGGGATTTTTACTTTTTTTTTTAAAGGTTTAACTTCAAGATTTTTAATCAGGAATCCAGTAAGTTATTAAAAATCTTGAATTTAAACCGAAAACAAACAAAAAAGTAAAAATTACAACAAAAACACAAGACAAGACAGTTGGAAATATAAATTAATTTAATTCAAGTTTCATAATAATGTGCAATTTTTTTAAAATAAAATCCGCGAAACAAACAGGAAAACCTGTTTTGCCGGTTTAAAATGTTACTTATTTGCCTTGAAACAAATAAGAAACTTTTTATCCCAACATCATGAAATTGTGAGCAAAAATGCGGGATACAAATTCTCTCAAAATTGAATAAAGTTAATAATAACACGTTTGTTTTGGTTACCAGATCTAAAAAATGTTTTTGACAGAAATCTTCTCTTTATTGCATGTTGGAAAGATCGACCAATCAGAATATGAAGTTTCTGAGCTGAGCGCTACCCCCAATCAATAGTTCCATCCTCAGATTTTAAAGTGAGCCGAACATGTAGATTTTTTAAAACGAAAATCATTTTTTTTATTTGCAGTACATGCACAAAATTCGTAAAATGTAAACACTTAAAGGGAGAGATCGGCTAGTCATGGTAGTTGAGCTTGAAAGTGAAGTATTGTAGAGAAAAACTTTAGGATTCATCTGATACCAATGAGCCATTTTAATGGCGTACAATTTTTAATTAAGACTGTAAAGTCGTTTGCAAAATTTCACAGTTGTTTCAATCAGCAGAAGAAACGTTTTTTACAATTATTTAATAACCCGGACAAAACATTTGCTGTTTAGGAACATATTTCTTAAAAGAAATTATCGCTGAAAGCCATAGTAGAACCGTAGAAACGATAATTTCATTATCGATATTACCTTTGCTGTTTCTATAATTGATTTCAAAGATTTCTACAAAATGTCGTCTTCACAATTAAAATAAAGAAAACCTCCAATAAGCGACCCTAGCTGAAAGAATTGACATAAACCTGCGAGATTTTAAATGAAGTTTACTAACTTATTTTCAATGTGTAAGTTCATTACTATCTCAACCTGTTTGTATACACTATACATGCAACTAGTTTGTATACACTATACATGCAACTAGTTTGTATACACTATACATGCAACTAGTTTGTATACACTATACATGCAACTAGTTTGTAGAATAGTAATTGTTACATATGTTTTTTCCATGTTATTTAAAAGTGTAAAAAAATGTTTTATTGGTATCATATTAACACTACAATACTGAACTTTCAGCTCAACTACCGTATCTAGCCGGTCTCCCCCTTTAAAGATTGTCTTTATTTCTTTAAAACAATGTTCCTGTTTTTTCAAAGTTTTTCTTAAAACTTAATTAGTTTGCTATTTGTTGTGTTTAGGACAATTAACCGGCCTAAAAATACAAATATTTAGGTTTTCCCATTTTCTTATTTAAGATTAGCGTTGAGAATTCTGAGACTGAACGGAGATAAATTATTCCGGAGTTTGACAAACAAGCTTGTTAGAGTAGTTCAAGTGACAGGTGGGTAGAAGACACAACATCTTATATATATATATATAGTGGAGGATACAGGTTAGATCAGTTCAAATGACAGGTGGGTAGAAGACACAACATCATATATATATATATAGTGGAGGATACAAGTTAGATCAGTTCAAGAGACAGGTGGGTAGAAGACACAACATCATATTCATATATAGTGGAGGANATATATTTATATATATAAATATATATATATATATATATATATTCTTTAAATTGGAGCAACTTAGTAAGGGTTATTCAGCAAGCCAAATTAAAGTAGGTGGATTTTATCGGAAAAGTATGTAGTTGTCCGCTTATAATGAATAATAAAAATGCCCGCATTTTTTAAAGTAAAAACAGAAGAAGATGTTATTTAATGAACTAACCGAAGTGAATTTAAGTATAAAATCTAGGAAATGGTGTAATGTTTGTTCAAGGGCTTGTACCTTTCCTCAAATATCACTTAGTTTTAGAATTTCTTGTACGTTCTGTCTGTTTTTACATGTCAATGTCAAGGTTTAGTTTATCTTTCAGTTTAAGATTTCTGGGATAATTACTAGGATCAACATTTTGTTCATTCAATTATTAGGAAGTAACTTTAAAGCCATCCATGTCTATGCAAAAGGAAGTGTTTATTCACCTCAAACTCTAATTTTTTATTATAATTATAAACTATTTCTTTTAAAAAAATGTAAACATTCTGAGTAAAAAAACGGGATTTTTCATAGTTTTTGTTAAATATTTTTGGAACATTGAAAAAATCCGCGAAAGCAAATTTGTTTTGAAAAAATTAAATTTTTTGAAAAATTGTCGGGAAAATATTGTTTTCCAAAATTTTATAAAATTTCATTAAAAATTGAATGAGATATAACATAAAATCCGCAAAAATTTTGAGAGGAAATCTGCGGTAAATATTATGAAATTATAACCTTAGAACTGTTATTATTTCAAAAATGCAAATGATTGGCTTACTTTTTTTATATCTCATTAAATTTTGATGAATGTATTCATTGTATTTTTTACGAGATTATTGTTTTTTTTTTAGATTAATTTTATAATTTTTCAGAAGTGTTGATTAGGGAATTGAAACTGTGCGGAATATGTTTGGGAATATGCTAGGAAACTTGGGTTAAATCTTTAAATTAAATTTCTTTTTAAAACCGGATAAAGGATAAAAAAATATTATCATTTGGATATAATAAACAATATATTTTGAATTGCATATCTCGCATAATTCTGATTTCTATGGCAAAGAAATTTTTTTTCAAATCTGAACTCCTCTTTAAAAAAACATATTTTTTATCTCATATATGTATATTCATAAATAGTTATATATGTTGATGTTTTTTAACCCTATTCAGTTTCAGTTTCAGTTCTCCTGGTCCTGGAGCTCATCTCCCACACTGGTTCGTATTAATTCTTGAATAATTCTTATTATATCAATAATCCAGAATAAGAAATGTGTAAAACCAGAAACTCCAAAACTTTTTTTTGAATCATCAGAATTTATATTGGTTATGTTAAAGTAAAAAATATTAAAACTGAAATCTCACTGTCTTGGGCTTATACGTACTTTTTATATTTGTACGTCAGAATAAATAGAATTTTTGGAAATCATTTGCTATTTTAACCTTAGACTCTTTGCTCTTACAGAAATCATAGTTTGAAATATCTAAGGTCTTTGACATTGGATTGCAAAGATAAAGGGATTAGAAAACCAGAGTTTGTGGCAAAGACTCAATTCTTATTCAAACAATGCGATTTAATTTATCTCTTCTACTAGGTTGTGATATTTGTTCCAAAGACTCCTGCAGAATTTTACAGAGTCAGGAGAATCATGAAAACCAAGAGTATCAGGAACAAGAAAGGGAAGCCAGGGTTAAACGTATGGCATTTTATAGGTAAATAATTGAAAATTTATATTGGATATAAAGATTGAAAAAAAACAGTACTACTAATCTGAAACAGGATGTTTAATAAACCACAAATACCTTGGAAATTTAATCTTCTATTTTAATATCTGGTTTAGGAACGGTAAAGAGGTAGCAGGCCAGGTCTCTGATACCTTGGATATATTGCTAGACAAGGACAGATATAATAGACAAATGCGACCTCCAGGAGAGAACCTGGATACAAGTCCTGTCCAGGTTCAGATAAACATGGCAATACGATCCATGGGTCCAGTAGACGAGGTCAGAGAACTCTTCAGTCTTGATTGCTACTTTCGACAGTCATGGACGGATACACGATTAAGGTTGGTATAAACAAAAATGTAAATGATAAATACCTACCTACTGCCTGAATACCTTATTATTTTACCTCTGCCATAAAAATAATAATTAGATCTATTTTTGGTCATTTGATTTCAACATTTTACAGCTTTTTGGAATGCCCATAAAAAGAGAGTAGATTCGCAGGGTTTGAACAGAAATTTTGCCAACAAAATTTGCACAAACGCCTTTAAATTAGATTTGTACATTTCAGTTTGTCTAAATTATGCACTTAGGTTTGGTAAATTTTGAAAATATTTTTACATATGTTTCCCGCCCATCTTCGCTTTTAACTTTCAATTGTTTCTCTATCTGCGGCATTTTCTTTTATCAAATTATCAAATATGAAAAAACAAATTTTCTCGGATTTTTCGACTTTTTAAATTCTGACCATCCACAAACCTTTCCTGGGTCGTGAACGTGAGGTCCTACGAAAAAAATGGACCACCAGACAAGTAAAGTATATTTAAAAAAAATATGACAAATTTCATGACAAAGAAGGTTTTTAAGTTTAAACTATTTAGAAAACATGAAAAAATATATAATTTCCAGGTTTAACACAACAGGGATATCTGAGTTGGTCTTAGATTGGCAATTTCTAACCAAGATCTGGAAGCCTGACACAACCTTCCTCAACGGACAGAAATGTTATCTTCACAAAATTACGGTTCCGAACCGGTTTATCCGGATTTCACCTAGTGGACGTGTTTCTTACTCCCAGGTTATGTATGGGTTAGTAAACCACAATTGACATTACTACAGACTTGGAAAGAATCCAGTATTAAAATGCCAAGATTGAGTGGAATAACAAAGCATGGTTGCGCACAAACTATATTTTACATTATAACGATACAAACGATTAGTGTTAGACCAACTAAAGTTGATCTAAATGCACATGACATTCGCCTGGGGCGAATTTATTTCCATTCGACTCTTCTGATCAGATGCTTTGTGCTGACTGACTAGTCCTAAGGGTCCCCGGGGATAAGATGGCTGACGTTCTGTTTTCTTTGATGGCTAGATAAATGCTGTTTCACTTCTTTCTCCAGCATCAATCTTACCCTAGGTGCCCTTTAAACGGGATCAACTTTCGATCCTTCAATACCCTTTGTTCGCCTACACTGTTATGTATTTAAGGTTGCAAACATACTCGGAGTTCAGTCCTTTTGGACTGAATCTGGATTGTTTGGCTTTATTCTTAGGTTGCGTTTGTTAGGCATTATTTCTATGACTGGGAGCAATGAACTTACATCATACTATGTTGGGTTCACATTACAGCTTCTTCTAACCGTACAATACTGTTGTATTTTTTCTATACTTTAATTTAAAAACCATGTACCCACATTATACATAATCATGAAATTTTGTTGAACAGTTAAATTATTTATTTTAAATTTAGAGATTGACTTTGTGGTCCAAATGTCCTATGTATCTAGGAAAATTTCCCTTTGATTCTCAATCCTGTTCACTTGAAATAGGTAATAAACTTGCTTTTCATTTGGGTAGAAAAAGAATCCTCGAGACAATTCCAAGCTCTTAGTGAAGCTATTTAACTCCAGGTTTTTTAGGAATCATTTGAGACGTTTTTACAGTACATATTTGTTCAGCAAAAGCAAAAATTTAATCTTTAAAATCATCATAGATTGTTAATTTTTGAGGGATGGTTTAAAGAATTGGTTTTAAGAAAATTTTCAAAAACAACGACCAAAAATGTAGTAAAAATTCTACAGTAAACTAATTTGTTGTTAAGGAACAGGTTTAGAAAATAAAAATTTACTATTATCATTGAAAATAAGTAATCTTATTCAGTTATTGGTTTCTGTAGTGTCTCAGTGTTCAAAAACATTTTCTGCAGATTTCCAGGAATTTTTATTGAAAAGACGACATTTGAAGAATTTGAAGAAATCTGCGAACAAATTCATAAAGAATATGAAATTCAATGAAAATGAAAAAGAAATAATTGATTCTAACATTGATTTATTGAGAAAATATCAATTGAGAAATATGTTCCTAAACATCTAATTAGGTTACTGTAGAATTTTTACTTTTTTTGTCGTCGTTATTTAATAATTTAAAAAAAATCGATTCCTAAAGCGTAACCGCCCAAATGGATGATTTTAAACGTCGACTTTGTGCTCAAACTTGGTAATTATACATCATCAGAACTTTTTTTGTCTTAAAGAATCTTAAAAAATTTCTCCACATTACTACATTCTCAGTTGAACTACCATACATTACCTGTCACTCCCTTTAAGTTTAGATCTTTAGAAATCATTTATCAAACCTAGGTTCGTATGGATATACTAGTGATGACCTAACCTATGAATGGGCACTGAAACCTGTATCTATAGATGATCTAGGTTTAGCTCAGTATCATATGACTGATTTAAACTATGGAGTTCAGACTTCTCCAACCAAGAGGTAAACATTCATCAAAAGCACAAGTTTAAAGTTTGGACAATTTTCGTGTTGTAATTTAATATATAAACTTTAATATTAGCGGTTGCATTCCAAGCTTCAATATGGTTGTTTGTTATAATATGATTACGTTGTTCTAGTCCGGGTATCTCGGAATTTTTACTTTTGGAATAGTTAAAAATGTTATAAAATAATTATTAAGAGATAGCCCACCAACCCGCAATGGGTTTGGTCTAACTTTTATGGGTTAATATTACAAATGAGCGTTATGATTGAATTTTTGGATTAAGGCTGAAATACAACAACAGCTACTTGTTTTTATTAAAAATCTATGTTTCTGTGTTAACGGATTACATATTTGATTAAATGTGGAAAAACTACTCTCATGAAAATTCCTTTTCTGCAGCTCTTTTATTCAAGGATGTCTTATTTTTAGAAAGATTTCAAGTGGATTCAGAACAGATTCCGTTGCATTCCTCAGATTTGATTTCCAGCGGCAATCTGGATTCTTCCTCCTCGGAATATACTTTCCTCTGACACTGATCGTAATGTGCTCCTGGGTCAGCTTCTGGATTGTTAAAACAGATGTTCCATCAAGAGTTTCATTAGGTACAGTACAACTACAGTACAACTACAACATTGTACTTCATGAAATCATTGAATATAAATCAAATGTCTTAATTGAAACTTCAAATTAAAGAAATGTGTTGTTAAAGAATAAAAATTAAAACACTCCGAACTTTTTTCACAAAACAAAATTTTACGAAAAGAAATTCCGGATACAATACAAGCAATTACAATTTTCCCTGAAAGGAATTGAGTTTTCCCACAAACTTAAATTTTCTAATCCCTATATTCCTGATGTAAATCTTTAATATTTTAAACTGAGATTAATTTATCTAACAGAAATCATAGTTTGACCTTAGAATATCTAAGGTCTGCAACATTGGGTTGCAAAGATTTTGGGGTTAGAAAATCAGAGTTTGTGCCAAAGACTCAATTCATTTTCTAAAATCTTTTCAACTATAACATTATTTTATTTATAACATTAAACGAATAAATTGAAAGTATTTTTGGTTTGATTGTAAAGATCAAAATGAAAAGAAAACATAAAATGGTCACGTCTCTGTTGAGTGTTACCAAAGTAGGTTTCGGAGGAAAAGCAAAACCTCAGGTAAATACAGAAAATATTTTTATTTTTACTAATTAGTGAAAATTCTGAATTCTAATATTTTTATTTTTATCTTTATTGATACTTTTTCATCTAATATTCCTAATACACTCTATTGGCATTTAAATTTTAGTTTGATACCAAGAAAAATGGCTTATAAATATGATTCACAATTGTGCGGGAACCCATTGGTTTATTTTTTTTTGTGTGCAACTTTTCGGCACTGGACTTTTTTCCCCGGTTTTAATAAATGTTTACATTTGTATCAAAGATTGTTTAGATTGGTTACGCTACAGCTTTAGACGTTTACACCATCATTTGTTTCTTCTTCTCCTTCGCGGCACTGCTCGAGTTCGCTCTAATAAACTTTATTGATACTTACTTCAAGCGTCTCAAGCAGTGGGAACAGGACAATCCGGAGCAAGGTAGGAAGAACCAGCAGCCACAGGAATAGGTTCAGGAGCAAGTTGCTCCAAGTGTAGGATCAGGTACCAGTTATTCCATGCAGTAGGATCAGGATTCTATTGCTCCATCGATAGGATAAAGTAAGACTCAAATTGATCTATAAGGGATAGGATCAAGATCCATTAACTCCAGAGATAGGATAATGATCCAGTATCTCCATGGTTAGGATAAGTTCCATTTATCCAGCTGCATGGATAGGAATAGGATCCAGTATAGGATAAGTTCCATTTATCTAGCTGCATGGATAGGAATTGGATCCAGTATCTCCAGGGGCTAGAATCAGGATCTAGTCGCTCCAGGGGTAGAATCAGGATCCAGTAGCGCTCCAGGGGTAGAATCAGGATCTAGTAGCTCCAGGGGGTAGAATCAGAATCTAGTAGCTCCAGGGGTAGAATCAGGATCTAGTAGCTCCAGGGGTAGAATCAGGATCTAGTAGCTCCAGGGGTAGAATCAGGATCCAGTAGCTCCAGGGGGTAGAATCAGGATCTAGTAGCTCCAGGGGGTAGAATCAGGATCCAGTATCTCGATCCAGAAATAGGAAAAAGATTCATTCAGTATCTCCAGATATATTATCAAAATCAGGATCCAGTAGTTCCGGGGATAGGACTATGATCCAGTATCTCCAGGGTTAGGGTCAGGATGCAGTATCTACCGGAAAAGGATCAAGCGCTTGTATCTTCAGGAAAAGGATCAGGACTTATTAGCTCCAAGGGTATCTGAAACCATTTGCTAAATGGGGGGGGGGGGGTTAAGATCGGTATTTAGGGACGGTATGGGTAGGATCAGAAACAGTTTCTTTATAAGCAACTATAAGAAACTAGCAGCTACAAGAGTAAGATCGGGAATTAGTATTTTTTTTGGGAACAACCAGGATCAGGAACCAGTAGCTACAGTGAAAAAATTAGGATCAGAAACAAGCATCTCCAGGTCTTATAAGGATCAGGATCCAGTATCACCATGTATAGGACTAGGGAATAAGTAGTGCTTATCTTTATTACTTCAACTCCAAATCTTTTTAATAAATGATTTTTCAAAAACATTGCTCGGTTTTAAAATATTTTAAATATTTTTGACTTTTTATAAATTTTGTCAATTTTCATTTGTAAAACAAATATCAAGAGTATTGTTTTATTGAATTCGTAAACTTATATTATTTATTTAGCGAGAAAAAGAAGAGACAGATTTAAGCGTGCAAGTTCGGACCTTTCTTCTCCTCCCACTTCCGGATCAGTCCTACCTCCAGATCACTCATCTATTTCTAAATCTAGCCCAAAAATGGCTCCAGATTCTTCAACAACAACATCTGTTTCTCTAGGTCTAGCCGAATCTCCAGCTCTTAATACTACATCTTTTATTCCCACTCCAGGACAACATGATCTTACAGACCCAACTCCAGGACTACATACAGCTTCATCTCCTTGTCAGGATGAAACCCAATGTGGATTGAGATACCGGAAGGATGTAAAGTTGGATATTCTTGAACTTTCTGATCAGAACGGAAAAGAATCAAATATTGAAGACGACATAAAATCCAGGGAATCCATCCAGAGTTCCACTAAACCCTCACTTACAAATATTATATACAGGTACAGTAAGTCAATCCTAAAAAATATGTGAATTAGGTTGCCACTTTAGGTTCACCGGCATAGGGTCAAACGACCCAGGGTCAAACCGACATAGGGTCAAACGACCCAGGGTCAAACCGACATAGGGTCAAACGACCTAGGGTAAAACGACATAGGGTCGAACGACAAAAGTTCAAAAACGCGACAAAGGGTAAAACGACAAAGGGTCAAAATGGAAAAAAAATATTTTATGTATTATTACAGGGTTAAACAAATTTCTGGGCCGAACGCTGCGGCTATTGGTTTAAATGAACATAAAACATAACTTAAAAATATGTATTATTTAAGGGTTTGGTTAAGATAATTTCTGGGCCGAGCGCTGCGGCCACTAGTTCTAATGAGCATAAAAATAGTTTGTCGTTGTACCCAATGGCATTTGACTTTAGGTCATTTGACCCTACGTCGGTGAATCCGACTTTAAGATCGTCTTTGTTCTTTAATGATCACTATACATTCTTTATGTCTTTAAAGTTTAAATACGGAATTAATGGATATTTTTGTTTGATAAAGCTTGGTTTAATTAGTTTTAAAGGTAAAAAAAACAGTAATAGGAAATCCCATAGAAATATTGTTTTTTTTTGGTGTTGTTGTTTTATTACAATTACAATTGAATAAATGAATAGAATTTAAGTTGTCATGATCTTCTTACCTTCAATTAGATGCTTAACAACCACTTCTGTCGACTTGTCTACTGCCACTATTAACCTGTTCAAATAGATCATTTTATTTTTCACATATATACAGGGTTACTAATCAAGAATAAGACTGTAAAAACGACCTGAAATCCTGAAAATTATGACAATCTAAAGCCTTAATAAATTCTTCTGTTTTGGATGTATCTTTAATTACTTACTTAATGATTTGGCAATGCAAGAAACAAGTTTAATAACAAACGGTATAAATTCCGTACAGTCGTCTCATCTTTTGAAGGTACCATTGTATATTATAACTGCATTTATCATTTATTTTAGTGAGGGCATGGTTGCAGTTCTAGAAAAGATACGAGGGTATATTCATTATCTTAGACGAATAAAATCTTCTTTTTTCCCTATTTGGAGACATTTTGCATTGGAGGGAGAACTTGGCTACGAAGAAACCCAGTATGTTGTTGACAGGATTGATGAAATATCTAGAATTCTGTTTCCAGCTGGATTCATGTTAATAAGTTTTATTTACTGGAGTTATTACCTTTATTCTGAATAAATTTAAAGTTGAATTATAAGTTTATCCTTTGTTTCATTATTCACAACGGTACCCATAAAAGCTTTATCTAAAACACAGTATGTAGATATATAATTTTTAATCTACGAATATTAATTTATCTTTAAATCAATCAATGAAAAAAAAATGTTGAGAAAAGTTACTGTTGTCAATTACTTATGGTACTTTTTACTTGTAGTAATATTATGTATTAATTGTAACTCTTTTAACATCAATAAAATAATATTGAAATATAAATAATTTATTTAACTGAAATCAATATAACATCATATAAATCATAAAACAAAGAAAGTTTTTTATACAAGCTGCGTTTTATGACAGTTTATGTCAAGGAGTTGAGTCTTAGCCACAAACTCTAATTGTCTTATTCTTATATCTTTGCACCTTAGATATTGCATGAACTCTATTAGATCAGATAATTTAAGTTTTTAAAATATCAAAGGTTTACCCCATTAGATTCGAAAGATATAGAAATTAGCAAATTTGAGTTTTTGGCAAAGACTTATTTAATTTCCTTTTCTAGAATGATCGCAGCCATAGGTTATTATGTTTATGTGAGAATGCTTAGGTGTGTTGTTTTTGAATGCTACAGGAATGTGCATTAATATCGTCTTTCTGGTTGCATTACATGTTTACTAATTTTACTTTTACATTAATCATTTTTTTCGACGAACTTCATTTTTTAAAGCGTTGCAGAAAAGTTTAATTGCGTATGGAAATACCGCGTTAAGAATTCCTATGGGTAGAATTCCTCCAAAATCGCACTGTAGCAACCAGCAGAACATTGTGCGATTTTTGCCTAATTGCTGAGCGGACATAATTCCTGGATACTGCCAAGCTCGGACATATTTATCTGTTGGAGGATGTGTTGGCCAGGATACAGAGCAACCTCCAGCCATCCAAACCTTGTCCTTTATCTCCTCCCTGGATAGGAACAGGAAATCTCTGGGTTGAACTAGACCAGGCTGACCGTCTGTTATCTGATATGAAATCATGGTACATGAATCTAGCTTCTCCAGAACCTAAAAACAATGTCTAGAATAAATTTTTTTATTTTTTATTAAGAAATCAAAATTGATATTTCAGATTTTTGGTATTTAAATACTTTTTACGCCCTCATATTTAGACACAATTTATTATGGTAGGTGTTCCTTTTTATAAAAATTCATTTATAAAAATTGTTTGATTTTTAAATGTCATAGATTTTTGTTTGACCTGTGAATGTTTAAGAGCTGGATTCCAAGAATGCATATTATTAATATCCATAATTATCCGTCCCACCGTCTTCACATCAGCCTCCAGGTTAAGGTGGACTCTCCAGGCTCTCAACCCAGGCTGACCTGACTCCACATCTCTTTTTGCATCTCCGGGTTCTCCGTCCCTCCATTCTAACCGACCCTCTGCACAACCCAGATCACAGGCACGGTTCCAACCCGTCTCCTTCCGACTTAATTCCAGTGCTGAATCCATTGCTTTCTCTGCCAACTCCAGGAGCCTGGATTTATCCATCCTCTGAACAAAATGAATATTTATTCGTAAAGATTAATTAGATAGTTTTAAAACGAAGAAAATTATTTTTATATCCAGCTGTTCAGAAAATAAAAACTTCAGCAAAATATTCATCATTATGCAGCAATGGAAAATAAAATAGAATCTGTTCTAAAATAAATTTCAAAACTATATAATTTTCATGAAATACCCCAAATCCCGATATTACAGAAATGTTTCTTGATTGAAAATTGATTGAAATTGCTGATGCCTTGTCAATGTCGGCTCAAAAATGACTTCGAGTTAAAAAAAATTTTTATACTTTGTTGTGTAAAAAATCAATAAAATTTTCTTCCGTGGGCCGTGGGGAGGCTGATGTGATAACATTTCAACTTTACAATCTTTAATTAGTAAACTTTAGGTTATATTAGATATTTTTAAACCACTTTAATCCCATTTTTAAATGGCTATTATAAGCTTTATTAAATGATGATAATTTTACAACAATAAATTCATGACATGGTTTGAAAGAAATAATTTTCTTTTTTTCTGGTTAAAATTATTATTATATAGAAATTAAACTTAAAGTTTCTAAATTCTATATCTTTGTAACCTGCAGATGTAAACCTTTGATTTTTAAAACTTAGAATATTTTATCTAATGAAATTTATAGTTTCAAATATCAAATGTCTTCGATATTGGGTTGCAAAGATAAAGGGATTAGAAAATCAGAGTTTTTTGACCAAAACTCAGTTTCGTTCTAACTATATTTATAATCTCTAGCTCAACCTGTTGCTACGAAGTTCAGTGGATGTCTGAGTACTGAGTAGGGTAGACTGTAACAGTTAAACCGGAAAAACGAAGAAAAAAATCCTTGCAAAGGGAATCTTTTTAAGAAAAAGAGAAATATAGAAAATTGTCCAAAAAAATGAGAAAAAGATTAAACTGAAAATACTAGAAAAAGAAAATATTTAAAAAGTTTTTTTAAAGTTTTTTTCATATTTCTTGTTTACAGGATTAAACACCTTTTAGGACTTACAATGGAGGGATTATGGGCGTAGGGTTTCAGAGCCAGGATTAGGAAAATATATGAGATAGGATATAATTACATCATGTTGTAAGGAAATATATAAACTAAATTAGAACACAGTGTGCTTGATGGACCTCTAAGAGATAAAAAAATCCCATGTAACTTTTTTTGAGATTCTGAAAGAGCTAATCAAGACGAACATTTTACGATATGTCAGCACTTTTTCCTAGGGCGAATTTCTCTGCAGTTTGCATATTTGCAAAGTAGTGTTTTATTGACATTTTTTAGCTATTTATTTAGAAACTCATTGTAATTTTTTTTTGGAAAAATTGCCTCATTTATATGTAAAATATACTTTAAGATACTCTGTTTTAGCTAAGGATATAATTTACTTTGTACTCAAGACCTTTCCCCTTATCCTTTACCCTGAACCTTTCTTTACCCATTATTTTAGACCTTTCCCCTGAAACTTTCTATTCTCCTTACTCTAGACCTTTCCCCTTATCCTTTACCAGGAACCTTTCTGTACCCATTATTTTAGACCTTTCCCCTGAACCTTTCTATACTCCTTACTCTAGACCTTTCCCCTTACCCTTTTCCTAAACCTTTCCATACCCTTCTCTCGAACCATTTTCTTATCCTTTACTCTGTGGATGGTTCAGTTTTGTTGGGTAAAACACTTAAAACGCATAGTAATACATAAGAAATCATATTGGAACTTTTATATTTTAATTTTGAAAAGGGTGAAATATGATTTTAAGGGAAAAAGAAATGAGTAAAGACAAAGGATAAAGCAAAATGTAAAGTAAAGTATAAGAAAAGACTTATATTAAAGTATTTGGAAAGGGCTAAGAGTAAAGCATTAGGAAGTAAGGTAAAAAAGAATGGTTTAGGGTTAAGGAAAAGGAAAAATAAAGAGTGAAAGATATGTAAGTGTTTAAAGTAAAGAAGAAGTAACGGTTTAGAGAAAAAGGATAAGGAAAGGTTTTGAGTAAAGGATAAGGAAAGGTTTTGAGTAAAGGATAAGGAAAAAATTAGAAGTTTAAGAAATAGAAGGGTTCATAGTAAAAATAAGGAAAGTTTTAGAGTAAAGGTTAAAGAAAGGGTTTAGGTAAAGTTTAGAGCATGTTTATGATAAGGAAAGTAAGGTTTAGGAGAAAAAGATAAAGAAGGGTTTTGAGGAAGGGGAAATAACCAAGAGGAAATATAACTTCACAATCCTTTTCTTATTCTTAAATCTAAATTTGTCTTATCATTTTCTCTAAACCCTTCCTCATCCTTCACTGTAAACTCTTCCTAATCCTGTACTCTTAACCTTTTTTTATCCTCTCCTCTAAACCCTTCCATATCTTTTACTCCTAATGCTTTCTTTAACCTCTACTCCTGAACCTTTAATTATCCTTCACTTATCCTTTACTCTAAACAGTTCCACATCGTTTACTCTTGACCTATCCTTTTTCTAATCTAAACCCATGTCTTATCCTTTAGGGTTTATAGTAAAGGTTAGATAAAGGTTTAGTTTTAAGAAGAGTTTTTGAGTAAAGAATAAAGGGAAAGGTCTAATGTAAAGGGTATGGAAAGGACTATATAGAGTAAAGAATAAAGGTAAAGGTCTCTGGTCTAATATAAAGGGTATGGAAAGCTAGGCCGAACTATAGAGTAAATGATAAGGAAAAAGGACTAGAGTAAAGGATAAGGAGAAAGGACTAGAGTAAAGGATAAGGGGAAAGGACTAGAGTAAAGGGTATGGAAACTGGAAAAATTTAGAGTAAAGGATAAAAAGAAAGGTCTATAGTAAATGATAACGGGAAAGATCTATTGTAAATGATTAAGGGAAATTTCTATAGTAAATGATAAGGGGAAAATTCTAAGGTTAATGATAAGGAAAGGTCTGATATGATAAGGGGAAAAGTCTGAAGCCTGGTTGAGAAATTGCCTGTGTAGCAATTTCATTGGACTGTGTGTCCTTTAGAACCGGTGAGTTAAGCCTGGTTGAGATTTGGACTGTGTGTCCTTTAGAACCGACGAGTTAAGCCTTGTTGATAATTTGGCCCATTTGTCATTTAGAGCCTGGAGTTAATCCTGGTTGAGATATTGCGAGAGTGACCTTTAGAATCTGAAAAGTTATTCCTGATTGATCTTGGTAACGAGTAGACCTGGATAGATACGTCTGGAGTAAATTGTTATGGAGTAGGTATTTGCTACAGGTCTTCTCTGTGAGGAAATACAACTCTAAATCTCCAGTACATATATTCAATTGCACCATTAGGCCTGTGAATTAGTAATAGAGGTCAAAAGTAAAAAAAAGAATCATAATTATATCCTCAGCTTAAACATAGTATCTTAAAGTACATTTTACATCTAAATACGGCTATTTTTCCAAATTGTTCAAAATAAGTTTCTATATAAAGAGCTGAAAAATATCAATAAAACATTGTACTGTGAAAATATGCGAATTGCAGAAAAATTCGCCTTAGGAAAAAGTGTTAATTTTTCTTATATCTTACAGGTACTTCAAGCACATTGTGAGAAGTCTACATTAGGAATTTATTTTACTTTTCTGCAAAGAAAGACTCGTCACAAACTTTAAGATTATAATCCTTATATCTTTGGAAACTGATCATTTAAACCTATGATATTTCAAACTTACAGAATTTATTGTTTGAAACATCAAAAGTATACGACATCAGGTTAAAAAGATATATAGCTTCTAAAATAATATGCAGCAAGGAACCATCAATGTTCCGCGCTAGTATGTTTCTTAATTACATAGTTTCTTACCTTTACGTCGGTTATATAGCTTCTAAAATAATATGCAGCAAGGAACCATCAATGTTCCGCGCTAGTATGTTTCTTAATTACATAGTTTCTTACCTTTACGTCGGTTATATAGCTTCTAAAATAATATGCAGCAAGGAACCATCAATGTTCCGCGCTAGAATGTTTCTTAATTACATAGCTTCTTACCTTACGTCGGTTATACAACTTTAAGACTACATAGTTAAAATAATATGCAGCCACACCAACGAAGAACCATCAATGTACTTTGTTGGTAGAGCTCTCAATCTGTGTGTTTTTACATAGTGTATGTAGCCTCGATATCAACTTTTCCTTAAAAATGTAAAATGTAGACGCAAACTGATTCTACATAACTTGCTCAAATTATATGTAAACGATTTGGTTGTAAAATATTTTTATCCAATCCACATAAACCTGTCTCGTCAACAACCTATTTTATGCATTTAATGTTCCACCACTTCATTGGTACAATTCTCAATTCGTATGTTCTGCATAATCTAAGTAGCATTGATACCAAATTTTTATTTAAAATGTATCCGTAAATTAACTCACAAAATTATCACAAAATATATGTAAACGAGTTTGATGTAAAACTGTCTTATTTAATCCATGTTAACTATTTAAATAATCTCGATACGGAGATAATAAATATCTAGATCTCAAAAAAGGTTAAAAAGATATAGAAATGTGTGTAAGTGTTCAGAATTTTGCAATTGCATTATGTAAAAGGTTCAGAACGTTGTTTTTTATTAACATTATTACATTAATACGCACTTTACTTAAAATTGGGCTAAACTATAAACAACAATCATCACGCTTTCATGAAGAAAAAAAATGACTTTTCAAACCACCATGTTTCAATCAAAGCTTTCTTGAGAGAAGGCACGTTCCAATACCAGATGATTTAACACAGTGTTGTCAAGTATTGATCATTAGTTTTTGTAATCCTAATATAATTTTAATTATCACGTGCACAAAAAAAGGTTTAAATGTTTTAAAAAATATATTATGTTGAGTATAAAGCAGAATTTATGAGATTTTTACTCTCCGACCAGACTTTATCTCTAAGCTCTTGATCTTGAGCCTGCTTCTCAACCTTGACAGAGAGCTTGCAATCATACCAATGTGATCCTGAACCTGGATTTTCTTGACTTTGGTTTTTATCCTCGGTTTCTCCAATTTCAATCTCTCCTGTTTGTCCTCCAGCCAACCATATAGAAGTTAAACACGCATATGAGCAAGGTACTGATGGAAGCACTGGTTGTAGAACCCGGATAATAGAACTAAGAGATTGTGGGAGCTGTAATAAACTTAAACTGAACCCAGGATCTACAGAGAAACTGCTCTGACCAGGTTTAAGGATACTCTCTAAACTTCTAAACAAACAAAAAATTGATAGATTTTAAATAAAATTACGCAAACGGTTTTTTTCGTAATGGACTTGAAATTGAAAGTTATATAGATTACTTTGTTGATTTGGGCCTAACTTGATATACAGTGTCAGGTCTGGGCCTAATCATGGTTGCTCTCCTTTGTTTTACGGAAGAATTATATCATCAACCTGTAGAAAATAGTTTCTATTTACAGATTAGAATTTGTGTTGATCTCCAATGAAAAAAAGAGAAAAATTAAGATGTTTAATTTAGAACAGAAGTTTCAATATATCTCAGATTGAACTTTGAAATTGTGTGTGATGAAATTTTTAATGCAAAATGGTCACACCTATAAAATTACAAAGGCTCTCCGTTAATATACAAAGATGATAATATCTTCCTTGACTTTAGTTTACCTAGTCATCATGATATTTAACAGTTTTGTCTCAGCATACAAGGTTCCAGGAGAATATTTATGCTCACTGTTCAGATCAGTAGGATTAATGATCCCTGAGTATAGGTTTGATCCACTTGAGATTGTAATAATTTTCCCGTGAGTTGATAGAATTGGAAGTATCCGAGTTGAAAGATGAACTGGACCCAGATGATTGGTTGCTATCATCTCCTCCAAACCTTCGCGAGTCGTCTCTCTTTCCGTACTTACTCTTCCCTGAGCTGCATTGTTAATTAAAACATCTACTCGACCATACATCTCCTTTAATTTGTCTACAAACCTAGAATAGTAACATATCAAAAGACAATAAAGCTCGTAAAAATAAAATTTGCTTGTACATAAGATGGTCAAAAGCATCATCTCTTAACGTACATATATAAAGTTTTCATAAGCAAAGGCAAGGAGCTTACTTACTTTTGTACTCGTTTCATACTCGACAAATCTAATCCAATCACAGCAACTGATTTACTTCCTGTCTCCTGAGAAATTTTCTCTCTCGCAATCCGTCCTTTCTCCGGGTTCCTACAACCCAGGATTACCCGTGCGTTTCTGAAATATTTCTTGGATCAGTTTTATAATAATAATATTTAGATAAATTGAAATAAATTAAAAAACAATTACATTAATGGTTAAAAGAGTGATACAGTCAGAACTATGAGTATCTACCTTTTGGCAGCTTCATAAGCTATCTGGTATCCAATACCGGAGTTTGCTCCAGTAACCACAACAATCTTATCCGTCAGATCAATAGTATCCAATCTACAGCTTGGCACTTCATAATTGTACATAATGTACACTGAACCTATTAGTACAAGTACACTAATAGTCAATAGGTTAGTTGTTAGTCCCATTCTACCAGCTAGACTAGACTAGACTTACTGAAACTTTTTGGGTTTCATTAGCCGGGTTCTGAGAATACAGGTATACAGTAATCAGCTGATCAGGTATCTATCCTATGACCAGGGTATGGTTGAGTACAAACTATCCTAGGAGGAGTCACAGTGAACATTGTCAGGATCTAAATGGGATTATCATCAATTAGTTAGTATTCACTATTCACCTCAAACACGCAATGGTGAAACAACCCACCCACATAACCCACATAAAAAATTGATGCCACGGAAACCAACCTAAACAGTATTCAAACTAGGTATTGAGTATTTTTCTTTTTAAATAATTCGTATTAAATCCCCCCACAAGTATACAGTGATAACCAGAAAACTTTGAAATAGGAAAACGACCTTTAGAATCAAGTTTTGAATTTTATAGTCCAATAAACATCAGACACAGCAATTAAGCAGTATAATTGTCTAGTCAAATTATTTGCTTTGTAACAACATCTAATGCTTTAAAGTCGTCTTCCTATTCCATTATTGTATGGTTATTACAGTTTAATGTTAAATTTGCTTATACTCCCCACACACCAGAACTTCGCTAAACTGTTCTTACATTCTATTTTTATGATTTAGACTAAATAAGATTTTAAGTCGGAAAAACATTAGATCAGAAATGACTTAGGTCCGTTTCACAGAGCTTTTAGTGGAGAATTCCCACTTTAATGAAACACAGCTGACCTGAACCACAAGTAGGTTTTACTAATAGGATCAAGACAGTTAAAAACATGTTGGATCCGTGAAGGTTTCCTGATTTCAGATCAATTTAAACTCAAATCCTAGAAGTAGCTTCCTCTAGCTACCAATTTTCAAATTACTTTTCATCCTAACCTCTTTATTAGAATCATGGTTTCAGACATATTAAAAATAGATATTTCATTTTCTTTTCCATTATTTTGTTTTAATTAGAACTTTGCCTTATTTCTAAAGAAAAAGAGTTCTTGCCATAATCTGAAATTTTCTTATTTCTATATCTTTGGGACCAGATGGTGTAAATCTTTGTTATTTCAAACTTAGACTAGGTTTTGCCCTCACAGTCCTCTCGAACAGAAAAGATTGATTAAAATCACATGGGATGGAACCTGTCCCAAGTGAAAGCTGGATGTCTATTGGTCTTCTTGGTAGTTTATAGGCCATTTTTAGGGACACCCACAATACATAAATAAAACGTCACTATGCGATATCTTTTTTTTCAGCACAACATAAAACGGAGTTAATCACAGCTTTAGATTACACGGAACTTTCTTAGCAGTTTTGGAGAGGATGATATTGACCCTAACTCGCTCAGCTCGCGTGAAACGGACAAAAACGTGTTTTTTCTCTTTCAGTCATGATGACCTCATGGATGAGAAAATGAAAATATTTATTTTTAATATGTCTGAAACCATGATTCTAATAGAGAAGTTAGGATGAAAAGCTACTTCTGAAAAAAATAATCTGAAATCAGGAGGCCTCACGGATGTTTTTAGATTTCTTGATCCTATTGGTAAAACCTACTTCTGGTTCAGGTCAGCTGTGAAGAAATGCAATCTGAAGACATGTTATGTTGATTATTAACTCATATTTAGACAATGCATTTTTATTCATTTAGCCTTTCTGCACATTGCTCATTACAAGTAAATGAGATTTAATGATTTTCGTTTCATCCTAATTTATATTTATCACGCTCATTTTAAGGCCTAACTTGCAAAACCCAGTAGTTCTCATTAGAAAATTAGAATTAAGGGATATCTGACCAACCCGGTTAAATCCTTTTAGCTTATTATGCAAGTTTATAAAACATATTTTAAACTCAATTCTCATCTTTTCCGGGATCTAAAATTAAAATAATGCCGATCGTAAAAAGTAAGCATTGCAAAAATTCATCGGACTAAAAGTAGTATTAGTCGTCCCTTTCAATTTAGGAGCTATTTTACGATTAAATTCTATAAGTTAAAAATCGAGGTTAGGTCTTTTTTATGTAAGTTTAATAAAACCCAAATAGCTTTATTTTTTTATTTTTCGTACGTTTATGAGAAACCAGGCTTATCAAGTTAATTATTTAATTTTATTCTATTCAAAAGTTATTGCTTCAATTCAATATGCAGTCATATCAAAATTTCCCAAAATTGTAATTGTTTAAGTGTATCCTATATATGATTCTCAGTGATCAATCTAAAACTATCTCTCATCTTACCTTTTATGGTTAATCTCCTGCAGTGTTGGCAGACTAAGAGTTTGCTCTCCAACATGTTACTTTTTCTCCTCTCTCCCCCCCCTTGTTGGCTGGGAGAAGGTTTACATGAACTCTAACCATGTCTCCTGAAGGATTCATGATTTAGCAACAAAGATGAAATAGTTAAATATCAAGGTGAGGGCACCGTAGGCGAATATTCAAAAATATGTAAAATACTCTGGGTTTAATTTTAGTTTGTTTATCCCACCACCAGCTCCATATAAGGTTTGATCTGGAGAGGATTGGTTTCGAATCTAAGGCGTGGTTTAGGAGGTTCTCAAGCAGTCCTTCCCACCCACTCTCATTACATACACTTTTCTAAACCAGAGAAACCCTGGGGTTAAGTTAATTCATATTGATTTATTGGATACAAATAGACAAGCAAAGTATATATTGATATAATTTTATATGTATGTATCATTGTACATGTAGTTTTTTCTCTTACTACTTGCTACATTTTCTTAATGTAAATAAGAAGCAAGACTTGATTATATCTCATCCCTCTGTTTTAATTACAACCCTGAGCATTGTGTTTACTCCTTGTCACGTCCTGGGAGCAAGGGTAGGAAGGTTTATCCTTGTTCCACCCATTTTTATCTTATCTTCATTACATCTCAACCTAATCCAAACAATCCTTGAAATCTTAATTATCCTGACTACTGGAGTTTATCTCCGACATCTTCAATTTGTAATATACATAGATATAAGATATAATTTATACATTTCGTGAAATTCTGCGTGCACCTTGACTAATTTCCAAAGTTTAACACCTCTTTACATTTTTTATTTGATAAATGTTTCCATAAGTGTTCTCTTTTTTAGATCCGAGGTATTGAGAACCCCAGAATACTTGTAATTTATTATAATCAGTGTTTTTTCCCAAATTCATATATAAGGAAAATAGGAAAGAAAGCCAGTTCTGGTTTCGTAGTCTACACATATAAATATAATATACTTCTTCTTGGCTCCATGATCTGTATCCTCCTGACCTGTCTAGTTTATGCATCCCGTCAACCCTGTGAATTTATGTTCACTGAATAAGTAAGATGGGTTTAATGACTATAATGAATGATCCTACAACCTCTCAGAAATAATAAATATGCCTTAACGATCCACACTGCTTAATTGCCTTTTTGTGCCTCCTTCATGATCTATTAGACACACTAAGCAAAACCTTTACTCTTGAATATCTTGTTTTAACCAAGTTATACAGTTCTCACATTTAATCCATGTTGAAATTACAGTTATTAGAGAAATGGAACATGAAACGAGAGGACTGAAACCTGTAACTAGAGGATTGGAACTTGTAACTAGAGGACGGGAACCTGTATCTAGAGGACTGGAAATTGTGACTTGAGTACTGGAAACTGTACCTAGAGGACTGGAACCTGTAGTTAGAGGATTGGAACCTGTAACTAGAGGACTGGAACCTGTAGTTAGAGGATTGGAACCTGTAACTAGAGGACTGGAACCTGTAAAAAGAGGAATGGAACTTGTATCCAGAGGACTGGAACCTGTAAATAGGGGACTGGAACCTGTAACTAGAGGACTGGAACTTGTAACTAGAGGATTGGAACCTACATCTAAAGGACTGGAAATTGTGATTTGAGGACAGGAAACTGTACCTAGAGGACTGGAACCTGTAATTAGAGGACTGGAACCTGTAACTAACGGAATGGAACCTGTACCTAGAGGACTGTAACTATTTAAGTAGAACCTGGAGCTAAAGAAAAATGAAACCTCTGACTAGAAAACTACACTCTTAATTAAATACTCAAAATGGTGATATTGAGGACAAAAAATCGCTTAATAAACGATTTTTAGTTGCATTTTAAACGATTTTAAATCGTTATTTGTGAAGTAAAAAAAACTTCATAATAGACGACTAAAAGTCTCCTAATTTGCATCTTTAAATCGTCTATAAACTCAAATTCGAAATTAAGGACAAAAAGTCGTTAATTAAACTATTTTCAATCGTTATTTTTAAATTAGAAATAACTTCATTTAGACGGCTGTAAGTCGCCTAATAAGCGATTTAAAATCGTATCTTTTTAGGCAGGTAATCAAAAACTCCTGTTCAACCCAGTTTATGAATCAGCTGATGGTTAGCATTCTTGCTTATTACCGTATCTCAGTTTACATTTAGTTAGTTAACCTGTTAATTTCTAATTGCGACAAATCTCTGATACTCTGGTAGCGAGTATCTAGATTAGTTTAACTAGCTATATATCTGGAAAGTCTCTGATACTCTGGTTGCGATATAGAGTAGATGATGAGAATGAGGCTGTTACAATCTCCGCCATGCAAAAAACTAAAAACTCACTATAGAACCTGGAGTTAGAGAACGGAAAACTGTAACTAGATTACTAAAACCTGCAGCTAGAGGGATAGAACCTCTTAGTAGAGATCCGGAATCTAAAGTTTTAAAGAACTAGAATCTGCGACTAACGGACTGGAGAATCAAGCAATATTTTACGCATTAAATTTTATTATCATAGCAGCACATTTATGATATTCATGGTATTTTAAATTCCACTAATTTACTTTTAAAAGTCTTGTTTTTAACATTACAATTTTTCATTAGTGCCCCTGTCAAGCTGAATATTCATTTTCATTAGTGCCCCTGTCAAGCTGAATATTCATTTTCATTAGTGCCCTTGTCAAGCTGAATATTCATTTTCATTAGTGCCCCTGTCAAGCTGAATATTCATTTTCAACTGAAGTTGAATTTCTAAAATTTGGAACGCGGTTGTTTCTTTGATGGATGTTAAAGCAAGTTTTCGTTTCATTTCAATATAAACAAAATGTTTGATTTATGGATTTAGACAATGAAAAAATAAATTGAGTTTTTGTCACAAACTTTGATTTTCTTATCCCTATATCTTCGCATTTGAATGTCGGAGACTTTATATATTTCAAACTATGAATCATTTTAGATCAAATAATGATAGTTTGAAATATCAAAGGTTTACACCATCAGGTTGAAAAGATATAGTGATTGTAAAATCATAATTTGTGGCAAAAACTCAGTTCCTTTGCTCTCACTTGAGGGTTCGTGTAATGTTTTTGAGAAATGTTTAGTACTTCTTCTAATCTTTAAACTGGGTGATAGTATTAATAAAGACATAAGTAAAACTTTAGAAATCTATTTAATTGAATGTAGATTTAGCTCTAAAGTTCACGTTGATTAATTTCAAAGGGTAAATACACTTTCTACTTACATAACATGAGGTACAATAAATCTTTAAAATGGAAAGATATAGAGAAAACTAATTTTTCTGAAGGAATAGAGTCAAACACCCTGATTTTCTAATCCTTATATTTGCAACCCAATGTTGTAGAAATTTCTAACTATGATAATAAAAATCTAAGCATAACATATCAAACCATTAGGTTAAAATCATATTGGGATTAGAAAATTGGAGTTTGTGGCAAAGACTCAATTTCTTCTTATTGGGAATCTATGGTAAAAAAGTGTTTTATTTTCATTCCAATAACTTTACATATCTCCAGCGTAAAATTCAATAACTTCCTTTTTGGTAGTTTATTTTAAACACATTTCTTTGTTGATTATGATTATGATTATAAGAAAATTATGGATTATTTAAAGTTGATGATTCTAGTTTGGGGTTTAACGTTTTCTAAACAATGTATAGTTTAAGCTCGGACATATAATATTTTATAGAAAGCCCATGATGAAGAACCATGCAATTATAGCTGCAGTTTCACAAGGTCAAGTTCAGTACTTTAGCTACTACCCTTGACTAGTGGGCACACAACTGTTTATGTTGGATACGGACAGGACGCGTCCCGGCGCTCAGAGAACTCTTCAATCTCCGCTTGTAGAAGTTAGTTGCCTGTTAACTGCACAGGTGGTGGGAACAACAACAGTTTGTCTGTGAGTCTATGAGTGTGTGTGTGCTCGTGAAAAGAGAGCCGGAGGATCGATCTGCAAAATCTAGGAAAGTCTCTGTATTTGTGAGGTTTAGTGGAACAACACTCAGATCAGCTGAAAGAAGAATAATTAAGGTAAAACCCCACTTTTTATTTGATATCGTAATTCTAAAAAGTCTATTGTTTAATTGTTATTTTGAACAAGTATTTACAAAGTTCTATAAAACTACGTTGACCCTAAAACTGCAGCTATTTGATGCATAAAGTTGAATATTTAACAGTGCATGCACGTTTTATAATAAACAAGAGTCAGAATAATAAAATCAAATTAAGCATTTGTAAAGGCCATATTCTTAATCTTTACTGGTAATCACATTTCAAAGAAAATACTTGTTTACACAAAGTGTTTGAATAATATCGTAACAAAAAATTTAATTCTTTTGAACTTTTTTTTATTTTGAATAAACATTTTTCTTTTTTGGACTTTCTTCTAGAATTATTTTTTAACATGTTGAGAGTTTTGACCTATTTATTTAGATAATTTCTAATGTGATTCTTATTTTAATATTTTTATTTTGGAAAATTATGATTTTTGAATTTTATGTTTTTTTAAACGTCAGTACAAATAGTGCCATTATTGTGACTGTATTCATTTTGCAATATTTGTTTTCAACAATTTTTTTTAAACACAGTTTTGCTTTTTTTTTAACGGGAGTGAAAAAGGGATGTATCTGGCAAAGCCGGGTATACAAGCCAGTACATACATAACAAGATAATAATCTTGCCGCAGTATTATAAAGATATATATATTGTGTATAAAACAACAGGATAAATTCCCCCAGGCCAAAGCATATTGGTTTTCTAGAACAAAATGAAACAACTGATAAAATACATAGATAATAAATTTAATGTAACAATTCAATTTTTAAAATTTTTATTTTTAAAATTTTAATAGATTAGGGTTCAATAAAAGTAATATTTACTGAGATAGGGTTAAATGAAAGTAATAATTGCACTAGGGTAAGGTTCAATGAAAGTAATATTAACTAGGGTAGGGTTCAATAAAAGTAATATTAACTAGATTAGGGTTCAATAAAAGTAATATTTACTAGGGTAGGGTTAAATGAAAGTAATATTTACTAGGGTAGGATTCAATGAAAGAAATATTTACTAGGGTAGGGTTCAATGAAAGTAATATTTACTAGGGTAGGGTTTAATGAAAGTAATATTTACTAGGGTAGGGTTCAATAAAAGTAATATGTACTAGGGTAGGGTTCAATGAAAGTAATATTTACTAGGGTAGGGTTCACTGAAAGTAATATTTACTAGAGTAGGGTTCATTAAATGTAATATTTACTAGGGTAGGGTTCAATGAAAGTACTATTTACTAGGGTAGGGTTCAATGAAAGAAATATTTACTAGGGTAAGGTTCAATGAAAGTAATATTTACTAGGGTAGGGTTCAATGAAAGTAGTATTTACTAGGGTAGGATTCAATGAAAGAAATATTTACTAGGGTAGGGTTCAATGAAAGTAATATTTACAAGGGTAGGGTTTAATGAAAGTAATATTTACTAGGGTAGGGTTCAATGAAAGTAATATTTACTAGGGTAGGATTCAATGAAAGTAATATTTACTAAGGTAGGGTTCAATGAAAGTAATATTTACTAGGGTAGGGTTCAATGAAAGTAATATTTACTAGAATAGGGTTTAACAAAAGTAATATTAACTAGGGTAGGGTTCAATGAAATTAATATTTAATAGGGTAGGGTTCAATGAAAGTAATGTTTACTAGGATAGGGTTCAATTAAAGTAATATTTACTAGGGTAGGGTTCAATAAATGTAATATTTACTAAAAGAGGGTTCAATAAAAGTAATATTAATTAGGGTAGGGTTCAATGAAATTAATATTTAATATGGTAGGGTTCAATGAAATTAATGTTTTATAGGGTAGGGTTCAATGAAAGTAATATTTACTAGGATAGGGTTCAATAAATGTAATATCTACTAGAATAGGGTTCAATGAAGGTAACAGTAACTACTGTAGGGTTCAATGAAAGTAATATTAACTAGGGTAAGGTTCAATGAAAGAAATATTTACTAGGGTAGGGTTTAATGAAATTAATATTTAATAGGGTAGGGTTCAATGAAAGTAATGTTTACTAGGATAGGGTTCAATTAAAGTAATATTTACTAGGGTAGGGTTCAATAAATGTAATATTTACTAAAAGAGGGTTCAATAAAAGTAATATTAATTAGGGTAGGGTTCAATGAAAGAAATATTTACTCTGATAGGGTTAAAATAAGTTTTAATGAAAGTAATATCGCTTAAAAAAGAGTTTAACTAAAAACTGTGTAGAAAAAAATGTTAAAGGAATCAAAATTCGAGAGTGGAATAAACACCAAATTGTTTCGCTTACGGCCAAGGAACTAATATAAATATGAGCTCAGGTTTTATAATAATAGAAGTTAGCAGATCCAGGTGGTTTCAGTTGTTAGAATATTCTCCTTAAATAAGGTTCTTGGAACATTAAACTTAGATAAAGATTATCATCATTCTGAGGTAAAGAAGAATTCAAATTTTACATTTTCTTTTCAGAAACTATTTCAAATTAAATCTTAATAATATTTAGTTCATATAAAACTATTGCTGCCTATATAACAGTACAATAACTGTTTGGGACAAAATGGCCTTAATTGTTAAATCTCTATTCCTTTATGTAAGAACTACGTATATATTTTATTCTTCCCCAGACTGTAAGTACATTGTAAACTATCCGGCTGTAAAAGTGAACTGCATGAGAATCAATTTATTCCTTATCCGTCCCAACCCTGCATCTTCTTTTGAAGCCTGGCAAAGAACCCATTAATCCTGGTAGAGTATTATACACCCGGGTTCTGGAACCCATTAATCCTGGTAGAGTATTATACACCCGGGTTCTGGAACCCATTAATCCTGGTAGAGTATTATACACCCGGGTTCTGGAACTTATACGTTTAATACTCAAGGGTTTGCTTAGTGAATTAAATAAAGATAACTCCATTGTTTCCGGGTTCCTCAGACCTTTGCAATATTCCTCGGAAATTTTGTAATGTTTACATAGAACCCACTTCAAGCTTACTTCAGAAGATGGACAAGTGGCAGCGAGGGAGATTTAAAACTCTGATAAATGAGTTCAAAACAATAAACATACTTACTTTCCTTTCTTGCCCGGGAACAGCCCGTACCCACTCCCCTGCCCCGACACCCCCCGCCCTGGTTTTATGAATTATGTTTGCAAGGCAGGAGTACACTTTGCTCTGACTCATATTTGCCTTTTTCTTATCTTTATTGTGTATTGTATACGTGAGGTTTAAGCACAAAAGGTTTAATTTGAAGATTAGTTTGCAAATCATATTAGACAAATTAAACTGGGTGAACTCACAACCAGGCTCAAGAGTTAGATTCACTCAGGTCTTATACTAACCGAAGAATTATAATGTAAAGATAATTATTTCAGAGGGGTTATACGCATTTTTAGTACTGCAGCAAGGGCGTACACAGAAATAAATGATGGGGGTAGGCCAAATATGCGCGACGCGTCAAATTTTTTGCTCCCTCCCTTTGGAGCTCCTAGGGGGAAGGGGCAAAATTTGAACTGTAAATTGAAAATAGTTGGCTTCTGGTACTTAAAAGGTACACACTACACATAGTACATAAAGTCCAACTACCTTGCAAGTACTATACTTTATCTCTTCTTCAAACAAAATAAGCAGAAAAAAAAACACCAAACCAATTTTTTTATGCTCTTCACTCTTCAGTTTCAGATTTGGAAAGTGCTAGAAAAAGTACCTTACAGGTCTACGGGTGTTACAGCCTAACATGGGATTCATCTTTCACATAAAAAAATCAATAAAATATTCTGGTCCTAAGTATAACTAGTATGTGTATTATCAAATATTACCAAAATTAAATGCTTTTATCCTCCTCGGATACGAGGGCAACACTATGCTTGCTTACAAACACAGCCCAGAGAAAACTGGTTTTAATATGTACGCAGAAAATACGCAACAGCAATTAATTTTCCTTGCCTTATTACCTTAATACTAACTATGTAAACTTACTAGATGACTGAATAGGATGAACCTAGGAGAGTAGTAGAATATGATCAAACTAACAGAATAGGATGAACCTAGGGGAGTAGTAGAATACGATGAAACTAACAGAATAGGATGAACCTAGGAGAGTAGTAGAATACGATGAAACTAACAGAATAGGACCAAACGAGATGGACAAGATGAAACTATATGGATAGCATGAAACTAGCTGAATAGTATTAAATTCTCCTTCTGGATGATACAAGTTGGATGGGATGAAGTTAGTTGGATTGGATGAAAATAACTGGATGAAATTAAACATAATTAAATTCTCAGACAATGATTATTAAATATATTATTATCAGTGTATGGTAGAATAAATATATCTACAGGGTGAGTCAAGAAAAAGGGTGAATAGCGAGATCTTGCATTTTTTTTGGTAATCTCATTTTTAACAAATATGTATGAAATATAAAGTAAAAACAAATTTTGATAGGCAATCTGATAGACACTTTATAAAAAATTTTCTGGTTTTAATTTCGCTCATTTTCTCTGAAACTACTCATCTAATTTGTTTTAGACTTGAAGGTGCGAAAAAAAATAATATATTCCCGCACTTTTGTTTTTCTACTCATCTAATTTTAAGTAAAAAATAGTTTCTAGGATTTTTTTAAAGGGTCTAATCGGAATTCCTATCAAAAAATAAAATTTAAAAGTTTCATACATATTTGTCAAAAATGAAATTAGCATCTATAAAATGCAAGATCTCGCTCACCCTTTTTTGATTCACCCTGTATATATCGTGTACAATGTTTATAGTTGATTGAAATGCATATTTGCCAAATAAAATAGCAACAATATATAAACTGATAAACCCCCTTGAAGCTGGATTTAATATACATATGTTCTGCAGCTGGAGGACACTTGAATCAATACNCCCCGCGTACAGAAAAATACGACAAAGTTTTTCTGAGCTTTAACATCATTTAAGTGTTTCAATTTCAACATTTATTATAATATAGTGAAGCTTTATCTTTAGTATATTTTGAACTTAACTT